CAACCCAAAGTCCCACTGCCCGAGATCAAGAACGGCTGGCCTACGGTGGTCTGCAAGACTTCCCTTGGAGATGCGCATACGTTATCAGCGGGAGTCTCCTGCTTTGGCAAAATATAGCGCACCTAGTCATCCTGATGCAATCTCCGAAGACTGGAACGAAATCGGGGGAAACGTGGCTCATAGAAGGATGAGCATTGGCGTAGAGAACCTAGAAGAGATCTTGTTGAACAGCGAGCGCGGTGTCCAAGCAACGGGACACACCTCATCAGCGACCTCGATCGGGCTGGACGAAAACGCGTCAATTATCGAGCCATAGTTCTCGCTCGGAGTGGGATTACGCACCCTGGGATGACGAGGAGCCTTTTCGAGTTCAGGATCTCGGATTATGCAGAACAGACGACGAGGGCTTACTTGTGCGGGGCCTAATGTTTCCGATTGATTTAGTAGAGATTGCAAACGGACACTGTCCACAAATAAGGTGGCGTACTTGTTTGAAGGTGGTGCTCATTGTTCTATGCACGAGGTAAGGGATTGAAAGACACCGAGATCGGGAAGAGGGGAAGAGCCTACTCGCACATGCGATCATAGCCTATGTAGTGAGCTATTCCGGAGGTAATTTATCCCAGACTTCTTCTCAAGGGCTCCCGCGCCGCGGAATCACGGACCTCCGCCGGACCGTCAACGACAGGAAACCAGTTGTCCCTCGGACGGATGCGGCGTTACAAAGAGGCATACATTTATTCATTCCGCTTGCATAATACATACATGACTGACTAACATACAAGGTTGGAATCCCGCTCTCTGGACAGCCTAGCTGAAGGCGAGTGCAGACCATGTCACCACAGCACCGATGGTCACAGCGGTCGCAGTCCGGGCAAACACCTCGGTCACGCGGTGCACGCGCTTACGGGGTACATCGCCGGCATCATCATCAAAATCCCGCTTCCGTTTTAGGCCAGCTTCCAGCTGCTCCTGTGCATCCCGTATTTGCCGAACTTCTTCCGCCAGCTCTGTGCGTGTTTCCTCGCGAAGCTTGGCTAGTTCCGCAGAAAGAGCTGGATCAAGTCAGATCAAGCAGATTGAGCAGATAATGTCCTCACCGGCAGCCCGTCTCTCGGCAACTTCGACTTTCTCCGTCCAGGCAGCTTCAGCGCGTCTGAAATCCAACGCTTGTTCCTCCACCTGGAGCTGGAGACTGTCGTTCAACTCTTGGACCAGGCGGCAGGTCTCTTCCTGGACATCCACTCTCTCTGCAAGAGCGTTGTATAGATCTTCGTTCTCGGCCGTTCGCTCCTCCAGTTTCGAGAACCGGCCAATTGAAGCTTTCACATTCTCACTGAATCGCTCCTTGAACTTGCGTCGATACGCTTGCAGTTGAGAAACTTCCTCCTAGAGCAGGCAACATGTTAGCAGACCATGTCCGACGAGCGGAAAGCCGTACTTTGGTCGCGGCCAACGATTCTTGCAATTGATTGATTTGGATGTTCTCAGAGCGGGCCTCGGGCTCGCAATCGATAATCTCGATGATATCCTCTCTATCGTCTGCTCGTGCATCATCGCTCTGATCCCTGCCGCACATTTCTTCAGCAAAGGAAATTTGCCCAAAAGCAGCGGGAGAAGATGATCGAGAGTGCGGCCACGCTCCAACAACAAGAGGTTCACCGGCGACAACGATATCTTGGCCTTCTAGAGCAGCTTCAGGCTCTGGGGAGCTCGAAAGATCCATAGGAGACGCGTAACGGCTCTCCGCCCCAGCTTCCTCATCCTCCGAAGAGTTGTTGTGATATGAATGGTCATCAACAGAATTGTCCAATACAACGGGGTCCTGACCCTCAATAGCTGGCGGCTGGGGACTTGTGAATGGAGAGCAATGGGAAAAGGAACCGAGGAACTGCTTTAACATGCTTGGTCGACTGACAGGCCAAGCAGTGCTAAAGTCCCACGATGAACGACGCCAGGGAGGATGACCAGCACTCGAAGGAGTCGATGGCTTGATCTCGATCTCTTCGACATCCGAATCCCGAGAATCAGAGACGGGAGAATCGCGTCCGTCAGACGAAGAGGAGTCATCCTCGGAAAGAATTGATGCATATAGGCCAAAGCGACCAGAAGGGGGCCCCAAAATAGTTTATGTTGCCCCGCTCCTGGTTCAGGCACGAAGAGCGGCTTCAGCTGAGGCTGTCCGTAGAGCAGGTCGACATGAGCGACGATGGGTTGGACGAGTCCTTTATCTGAGCTGACTGGTTTACCAAACGTTATCGCATCACCGGCAGAGAGCACAGCAGGTGTCTCCGGGGCCAGTGCTTTCAGGACTGTATCATTGGCCTTGCGGATATGCGTGCCATGGTGAGAATGAGTCTATCAATGGGTGAGCTTGACGCCGACAGAAAAAAGGGCCACTTGGCGAACATCGATGAGATAACACTGCCGAGGGTGCTAAATTAGCACTGCCACCAGGAAGGGAGACGATGACATACAAGGCCAGTGTCGCTGAAGACAATCTTCGCATGATGCCGGCTGACAACAGGGCAGTTGAAGGAAGCCCGACCGGACTCGGTCTTGCTCTTGTCAGAATCGGAGCCTGGTCGGCGTCCTACATGCACGAGCTGCTGATCGGATTTGTGAAAGACGAGGGTGTGCCCTTCTTCGGCACCGTTGGACTCGACCCTCAGTTCGATCCCTTATCCGAGACTGTCAGTCGAGCTTGTCTTTAGAAGGATTGGGAGCATCTTCACCGATGATAGTGCGCTGAGGTGGAGTGCTGAAAATGGAGTGGTTCGGTGGAGCCAGATTAGCGCGTCGGGTACCCAGATACTGGATGGAATCATCCTCAGACATGCTGCTTGGACAAGTGAGATTGCGGATTCCGAGGGAGGTGAGGGTCAGGACTGAGGGGGACTGGCCGGGGTGCGGCGAATGTCACGCTGTGCCATCATGATCAGAGTCACTCGCGGCACCGGATGCAGTGAGCAGATACGGTACAATAAGATTAGATAAGATGGGATGTGTGATCAGTAATATTGATCCACCAAGCGTTATGCTGCATGTGCATGTAGGTATCAGCCTCAACTCATTGCCCCGCGTCTCAGATCCATAATCATCGAGCCGTATCATTGACAGTCTGAACGCCAGCGACAACCTTCTGCATCTCTGACCACTCAACCTCGCCACGAGACAGGGACATGTCCCCAATATCATAGACGTAGAGTTTCCCGTCACTCCCACCCAACGCGGCGTGACGCCCATCCTTGTTCCATTGCAATTTGTTGATGGCACGGCCGGTGCCGACGCTTGTTGATACAACAGGAACCTGGCAGAGCAGCTATGAGCAGAGAGAAAATAGTAACATTCCTTCGGCGCACCTCGGTGTCGACATTCAGATTCCATAAATCGAATTTTCCCGATCCATCGACGGAGCCAAACAAGGCAGGGTGTTGGGGATGCCACTTCACATCGTACACATAATCGTCGGCCTCGTCAAACGAATACAGAGGTGAGATGGGATGGGGCGTCGTCGACGGCTTGGACAGCGATTTTGCACGCCACAACTTGACTGTCCAATCCACGGAACAAGACAAAAACAGGTCAGAAAAGTCGACTGGGCCAGCTAGTGGGTGGAAATGTAACCCCATGACTGGTCCAGAGTGACCTTTGTAGACATCGTACTGATTCAACCCTGCTTTGGACCCAGCGCGATCATATCTGTTTGCCTGATAGACATTCCCTTCCTCTGTCCCCACCCAAAACGTGGTCGTTTCGTTGTTGGGAAAGTCAAGGGCTGTGATGGCAACTTCGCCGGTCTTGTTGTGTCCAGCATGCACAAGTTCCAGCGTTTCTTGCGGCTGGGCCAGCATGTCGACTAGCCAGCTGCACACAGTCCCGTCGGTGCTGCTGGTGATCAAATTATGCGCATTCTGGGTGCCGACCATTTGTATAGCATAAACTGGATGGGTATGTCCTGCAGCAGACAGCGGGGTTTTAAGCACGGGAAGATGCTTTGAGCGATTGTCCCAGAGCAGAATCTGCCCAGAATAGGTTCCTCCGAAAATAAGGTTGGAGTGGAAAGGCGAGAAGAGAACAGACAAGACATCCGACTGCAGACCATGAGAGCGCTGCCAACATAAACACGCAGACTCCTCACCGGCGAATGGAACACGAACTCGGGTCGCTCCACAGAATGTGTATTCCACACGGCAACGATACCCGCTGGTTCGTTTAAAGCTGCATGGTTTTTGTTGTACGAGGCCACGGTGAGCTCGGGGAACTGGCAAGGTGTCAACAGTCGATAGCGACACAGTAGAGACCACTGCAGACCTTGGGAGACCAGTCCACATCCGTGATTGAACGGTTCTTTCCGTACCGCTCGCTCCAGAATTCGCATACTTTCTTCACTCGTCTTCCTTCCGAGTCATCCCTGCATGCGCGTCAGTGACCTGATGAGACAAGAGAGAAACGATCTTACCCTCCTGTTTCGGCACCCTGGGTATAGTCACTCATATAGTTATAACGGTCATTCAAAACTCGATGGAAGATTTTGGTCGAATCGTCAATGAAGTCAATGAACTTGGGATCCGACAAGAACGTCTCTCTCTCCTCTTCGGTAAGCTCTAGTCAAGTGCCTTGAGGACACTTCCCAGTCTGGATGATTTCGAAACACGCACCGCGCACTTCCTGCTCGATCTCTAGATCTAATTTGGCCGATTCCTCCTCAAGCGCCTTCTCGTGCGCTATCCGTTCGGCCTCTTGCACCTGTTTGTCCAGCAACTGCTGCCTTATCTTGTCCTCGAGGACCTCTGGGGCCTCCGTTTCAATCTCTACCGTTTGCGTGGATTTCTCGTACACGATTGTCCGTATCTGTGCATCAAAGTCAAGACCGATGCATAGAGGACATGTCAAAGGATGCCGCACCTTTTGAGGCAGCTCGAAAAGATCTTGCTGAATATCGATGATCCGTGGCATAATCTCACTAGATGTCGATGAGTGTCGTTCACTCCATTTTGAAATCGGTGGCACCGTTCGATGACATGGTCCGTCCCAGACGATACTGCATGAGATGCGCGAGGACTAGAGTGCTCTGGTTGGAAGCTGCTGGTCTGGCTGTCTCTTCCCGAGCTTGCAAACGCTGGTATTGAAGGGCTGCCTGTGCGCGCCGGTGTTCCACTCCCACTTGCTGGACCCAAGATCTCCTCCAACAGCAAGTTCATATTAGCTTTATCCAGCTCTCTGCTCGCCACCGCTGGAGGTGTCTCGGAAGCCTAGCTAACAAGATTCGCTAGCCTGAAAGACAGTTTGTGCGGCTGACTGACGCTTGACACTCGTGACTGAGTGCGCTGCTGTCGCGCCGCGCGCATGGCCTCCAGCTTAGCCTTCTTGGCCTCGATTTGTGCCCGACGCTGCTCCGACGACATTGTGATAGGGTGAAATCAACAGTAGTGGAATCCCTGGCAGGTTATGGTGGTGGTGGACACAGGATGATAGAATGATGGGAAGGTTGAACGAACACGTGATGACGACGCGTCTTGCTGCACTTTCATGCATCTGTCATTTGAGTCTCTCTTGTCTGAATTGATCGATTGCATCGCCGGTTCTGGTCACTTGGGAGTCATATAGAAGATACATATGGGGCACGACAATCGCATGAAACACGGCTGGCTACAAAGGCATAAAAGTATGTGGGAGTTTGGTCTCAATCTTGCTTAGATAAGGAGTTCTATCACCACTCGGGTCATCGCATAACTATGAAATCCACGACAACGAACATTGCGGAACGGAAACGTATCGGTCAAGTGCGTCATCCGTCCCAAGCTTGACCGTCTTTCTGATGCATTCTCAAGCATTTTGTGGTAGGCTTCCATGGAGAAGCCCCCTCAAAAGACATCAGGACACTTATCCAAGAGTACTTTGTGGGCAGTGTGATTCTCATGAAACGCAACATCGTCGGTATGCTCATCTAGGTCTGTCCATAAGCTTTTCCAGACATCCTTCCCAGACGCAGAGCAAACACGCTCCCTCGTCCAACAACTGCAACAGCTTGCGCACGACGCAGGCCATGACCAACCGCTCTTAATTGGTATCGATCAAGAGAACGGACTAGTCTCTGCATTTGGCAGGCCAGGAGCAGGCACGCAATTGTAAGCCCACGTTATCTGTTCCTTGGAACATCCTGAGTTTGCGGGTGTAGTCCAGGTTCGATGGCCCTCTCGGCGACAGGGTCGACAGAGCTTGCGGAAAACGTGTCATGTGCCATTGCACGAGAGCTCAAGCTCGTAGGAATCAATTGGGCCTACAGCCCTGTGGCCGACGTGAACTCTGATCCTCGCAATCCGGTTATTGGTATGATCTTGTCATTCAGATGACAGGATGTGTACTGATCAGCATCGCAAGGAGTGCGCTCGTTTGGCGATGGTCCTTTGATCAATCGAGGGAACACTGCAATCAGGCTGACGCCCTCACAGATCCGTCGCAAGTTGCTGCATTCACGGTTGCCGTAGCTCGAGGTCTGACGCGAGGTGGCATTGCTGCTTGTGCAAAGCATTTTCCCGGTCATGGTGATACATCAGTCGACTCGCATCTTGCCCTTCCTCAGATCAACAAGCTGAGAAGCGCTCTGGACTCATACGAGCTTCCGCCGTTCAAAGCCCTCATCTCTGGAGGAATCCCGAGCATCATGACTGCTCATATTCTTCTCCCCCTGGTCGCCGATGATCCCGCCTCCTTATCCAAGACTTTCACCACGGATATTCTGCGGACAGAACTTGGTCATTCGGGGGTTGTGGTCACAGATTGCCTGGAGATGGAGGCGATATCTAATCAGTCTCAAGGAGCCTGTGGCGTGGAGAAAGGCGCGGTCAGGGCGCTTCAGGCTGGCGCAGATATTGTCATGATCTGCCATACGATGGTCTGGCAGATTGGCGCATTGGATGCCACTTACGAAGCCGCCATATCGGGACAGTTAACGCTCGACGAGACTCGCGTTGCTGCGCTGAAGAATGAATTTGCAGGCACCTGGGACAATGTCCTGTTCACGGACCCGGAGTTCTCCTCCAAGTGGGCATCGGTCAAGAAGGCAAGCGCAGAGCTGAGCCGCAGGAGCTACTTTCTCTCCACCGCCCTGGTGAACGGATCCGGGTTTCGGCCGCTTGAAGTTGGCCAACCGGTCACACTTTTCACGCCGCCAATGGACAGTCTCAACAAAGCGGTTGATGATGCTGACGACATGCTTCGTACGCAAGATGGAAAAGTCAGAAATACGGCTGGGCCTTCATTCCTGTCTCTCGCCCAGTCGATCGAAAAACGTGCACCCTGCGATCACATCGTCTACGGAGAGAATAACCGCTGCACCGTTCCTACCGGAAGCACTGCGGTCATCTTCGTGCTGAGGAATGCGGACCGATATCTGTGGCAACTCGACGTTTTAGACCGGCTGGCAGCCAGCCATCCGTTGCCTTTCATTGTATTGGGCAGCTGTGCACCTTACGAGGCTCGCTTGGTGTCTCATCCCTACATCGCCTCGTTCGAATACACTCCGGATGCTTTGGAAGCTGCCATACAAGTCGTATTCGGAGAAAAGTATCCTCAGGGAACCGTACCAGTAGCCTACTAATGTGAAAATGTCCCGGCATATCAATTGCCCCATACAGATTCAGGATCCACTTCTCTCGGGCCTTGAACTTGCGAATCATTCGAAGGCATAGTAGGACGCAGACCAGGGTGGTCATCTCCAGCCAGCGCAACCCGACGCGAGTCTTGTCGATCATACAGATAGGCCCGGACGTAGGAAGCGACCAAAGCCAGCGGAAGAAGTGCGGTGAAAATGAGAACGGTAATCTGTGCCGATGCTCAATCGGAGGTTCAGACAAATGTCGTAAGAAATCTCACATAGACAAGCTGAGGCTTAGGCCGCAGCGACCAGATGCTGACACAGATCCATGTCGCGGCAACACACCATACGATATCTCTGCGCAAGAATACGACCACCAAGCTTACAATGTTAGTCCCGAGCACGACTCCGAAAGCTGGCCATTGATGGTCATTGTAGTTGGCGGGCGTGCCGTCGTAAAGCGGAATGTAGGTCAGTCCCAGTGCGATGCTAGACTGCGTGAGCGAATAGCTTCTTGGGAAGTAGAGCTTGACACACAATAGATTGAGCGGAAGCATGAGTGCAAATTGCACCACAAAAAAGAAGCGCAAGGGCGCATGAATGAGAGCCATATCGAACGGTCGTTGCGTCGTCGGGGCATGGTAGGTGAGCAGCGCAATATTAGAATACAGGAGCAAGATAAGCAGAATGCCCTGAAACACAGTCGCGAGAATGAACCACTCAAACACCTGCTTGAGGATCAGAGACCGAAGAGGGAGGGAAAGAAAACGTCAGGTACCCAAGCGATGGCCCACAATGCCATAACCCAATTGGCAAAAACCAGGGAAAGCCCAACTCCTTTCGTTAAAGTCCTCTGGAACCGACAGTGGTGAGAATCTTCACCGTAAGAACGAGCAAGGTATTACCTTGGTTTCCGGCTTCCTCGCGAGCACAAGAAGAACACAGTATCCGATTTGACCTATGTACATCGCGGCGATATACACCGAAATCACGGATGGTCGGGGGGAGACCGGGGTGGGGTACAATCTCGATATTTTTTGGATCGAGGGGTTCATAACGAATGCACAGACGACGACCGACGCAATATTGATCAGCAGTGACAGTGGTGTCAGTACCTCCGGGTCGAGTTAATGAGACGATAATGATAATTGTGCATGGATAATGCACCTGCAATCTACAAACGAGCTCAGAGTCAAGAACTGGGAGACTGTGCAGTGTACAAACCGAACAAGGGCAAGATAGTCGCGCACTGCGGGGTGTGAGGTGTCTAATGGGAGGGAATCCATGGCTCGTCGTGGGGGTAGAACGAAAGGGGTTGGAGGGCGGCGCGTCCGCAAGTTATACTCATCATGGTGCTAATGGCTTGACGTCACCAGCCAAGTTGGGATGATGGTCACGTACGCGTGCAGCGCGTCACATCCGTCCCTGTGTGTCGCATCAAAGATCGGTGTAGACTTCAATGTCCCTCATTCAACCTACTGGCCGCAAAGGACCAAGATTCGGCAAAGGAGGAGGCAGAAGGAATAACAACAATCAAATTTACGCTTGCGCTCTTCCCGTCGCTCTAAACAGTCCCCGATCTGACTCCTTCTCGCGATCTCTCCTCGGCCTTGTGGGTCTCCGACTTACCACTCTCGAGACTCCGCTATGTCATGGGGTCTTCGATGAGGCAACGCGCTCAGTCTGGGTTTTGGAGAAGGAATACACTATGCTGCTGTGGAGACGAGGATTCTTTGGCAAAGGAGACTTGTCACGGAGTGAACCAAGTTGGCTTTCTCGTCAGATCAACAACAGACGTACTGGAAATCGTACGGGCGTCATTGTCATCTGCCGCAAATTCTGTGAACATGTTATTCTAGGTTTGACTGCCGAGGAAGTCACTGCAAAACGAAGGGCAGAGCGAAAGCAATTCAAGATTGACCGCGCTCGGGCTATCGCGCAAGTTGCCGCCGAAGCGGAGGAGATTTTCAAGACAGAAGGTCGGGTAGTCGTACCGACTCTTTCGGGGCCCTCTATTCCTTCCGGTGCGACCTGGAAACCAGCCAGCATGTCGGCGGAGTCACCAGAGCTTGTGCCTCCTCCTGTTGAGGATAGCCCAGCTGCGAAAGAGGAAGAAGCAGAAGAAGAACCGTTGGAAGATCTGGAGCATCTCCAGCTGACTCTACCTGAAGCCTTCTTTCTGATGTGGAATTTCGATTGCCTTGCTATTGAAGACCCCAATTCAGTGCGGGTGTTTCTCCGTGTGCTTTTGGATCCTAAAGTTTTGCTAGCATGAACAAATGTCCATACATCAGGTTTGGACAGCCTTTCAAGAGGCGAATTTGATGCCTCTAATATTGACAGCGCCCCGCCCGCCAGTGGATCTCCAATTCGATAATCCATTCCTGATCAACTACATCGTGTATCACCATTATCGATCTCTGGGTTGGGTCGTTCGGGGTGGTATCAAGTTCTGTGTGGACTATATGCTTTATAAGCGCGGTCCAGTCTTCAATCATGCCGAGTCTGTCGACAATCTCCTGCATGCTCGTTTCCTCCTGACATCTGCGTAGATTCTCCGTCGTCGTTTGCCCTGTGTACGAGGACCCTGCGGACCGCGACGCCTCAGTCGTAGATCTGCACCACTCCACACCCTTTTCCTGGTCTTGGCTCGGCACGATCAATCGCGTGAACACTCAAGTGTTCAAGGTGCGTCATCCGCACAGAGAGACAACGAGATTAAAATGTCGCCCAGACCCTCATCCTTGCATATGTCACAATCCCAGCTCGTTCTCGCGTTTCTCCGGAATCGCTCAACTCTCCGGCTTGTTTGCAATATTACTCGGTCCGCGAAGTGATCGTCCGCCGATTCATTCCTGCGCGAATGCGAGATTAAATGGTATTGTTGGTTCATAACTATGATACATCGCGCAGTCCGTAGAATAGATTGGAGAGAGAAGGACGTCGGCGAGAGAAACAGAGCGGACCATTGGATCATATTGCACCTTTGATTCCGACTTTGCGGTACTTTATTTCGTAGACCTGGCTTAACTGGGCACCGGCCAGCCGGCAATCCAGCGTCTTCTGGGAGTCGGGACTTGTCTGATCAGTGAAGCATGCAGCAGAGTGTTCGACCAAAAATTCGCGCGCTTGGTCAATGCCATCGAATGCCAACTCTTGCTGAATGAAAACAAGAGAGATTGTGCGATAGCTGTCGATAAGTGGCTGAACGACGCATCAACGGAAAAAGGCATTACAACGCACGCTTTGGTAATCACAAGCAGGGCTTTGACCCTCTCACGGGCAACAAAATGGTCCATGATATAGGCTCCCATGTTTGGCACAGTGGAATACAACTGAAAGAGAGCATGATAGTTGCCTGTAGCAAGAGCCCGCTGCACCTTGAGAGCGTGCACCACCGCGAGGTCTGTTTTCTGTTTCGGGGTTAGTTGACCTACAAAAAAATTCAACTCTGAACAAAAATTAGCGCGATGTGGAGCCTCATGTCAGAGCGACTGACCGCTCCTGTTACGGCCGTGCAGAAGCATGAGTATCCGATATGCGGCAAACTCATCCACTCGTCCAGGGAGGCCCAGCTCATACAATGTCTTCAAGGTCGCCTGGCACTGATTGTACTCGACCATGTCACCCTGTAACACCACGATCAAGGACAGAACACTCCTCAGATCGCACAGCCTACATGTTCTAGTGCAATTCGGCCATGTATTTCATAGACCTGCACTGTGAACTCATTCTTAATTCGCTGAACCTGGAGTTTAATTCAGCCCAGGTCAGAACGCGAACAGAGAGAACAAACGGACGGTGAGGTCTTGACGCAGACTCTTGAATTGACTGCACGTCCAATTGTATGGTGGTCTAGGTTCTTGGCGGAATCGGGTCTTCAACTCCTCCAGTGTTTCTCTCAGTATGTGATACGGACGGATTTGTTCAGGTTTTGGTTCCTAGAACGAAATCAGCACACTCTTATCAATGCCCCTCTTGAGATGAGTCCTAAGCTACGCACAGTCGTCAATCGCAGATAGTCCTTGAACTTCTCGGTTGAAGTTCCCACGATGGTATGCCGATCCCAGTCCATCACATTCTGTGCACATCGCCTCAGAGGGATTGCACAGATCCAGTGACACTGCACATACGGGATTTGCATCCTGATCCATCGGCGACTCGCTTCTTGGATGGGAGAACAAATGCGAGTTATTCTGATTCGCCCTGAGACTCGACCCTGCGTTACGTCCCTTCTCTCGCTCAATATCATGCTCTCGTTGGAACCTTTGAGCTCTCTTGTCGAGCGCAGCGCGGTCATCCGGATCTAGTAGAGGGGTGTTGTTCTTCTGCGCTTTCTTGGCCTTTTTCGATATTGGAGTAATATCTTGACTGGCAGATCCGTCATTGGTGATGGTCGCGCACACGAGTGGAAGTCTCACAGTTTGCGTTTGAGATTTATCTGGGGTGGTGGCTTGGGTTGCAAGGCTTTGAGCTGTACAGCTTCCCAGTCCGTCGTCCAGAGTTCATGGGCCGCGAAGGAGTCTGCGATGACCTGTCGTAATTCAGCTTGCGCCTCCGATCTGTTGGTGTCCGTCATTTGTCCCAAACATTTCGCCACCCATGTCCTGCAGAGGATGAGAAAATGGCGCCGTCCGAGAATGGCGAGTTACTTGAGTTGCGGGGGCCAGGAATCTGCAGACATGTTGGAAGTCGAAGTGAAGCAAGGTGACAATACAAAACAACAAATGATGAGAATACCCGAGCAATCTACTGTTCTATTGAAGATAACTACACCTACAAGCCTCTTCCCTACATATCTTCTATGATTTCTCGTGAACGTGAATCATTCAGAGCTATGACCGGGCGGGCCCGTGAAAGGTATGGCTCATGCATGAAGTACGCGAAGCGTCCAGTAAAAGCTATCATTATTTCACAGGCTTTATGGATAGGTCGCAAGAACAGGCTCTTGACTTCTAATGAGTCTTGTCTACAGGAGGGTCGTATACTAGAAAAAATATCAGAGTAAGACCTTTCCAGACCGAGAGAAGACATACAGATTTTCCTGTTCTTGATGGGGGTCCACTTGAAGCGCTTGACGTAGAGACTGATCAAGGTCAACGCAGAGAAGAGGATGACAGCCTTGATGCCGTTCTTTTTCCGCTCGTCATGTTCAGGCTCAGCAGCCCAGTTCAAGAATGTCACGACATCCTTCGCCATTTGGGACGTGGTTGCCGGTGTGCCTGCGGGATGTTGAGAGAGAGTGTGTGTTTGGATGAGAGTTTGCTCGTACCGTCCTCGTACTCGACCAATCCATCAAACAGAACACGGGCCATACCGATAGCACCTCCGGGGAAGAACGGGTTGTAGTTCATGCCCTCACGGATTTCGACGCCAGCGGGTGCGTCAATGTATCCGGTCAGTAGAGCGAAGATGTAGTCCTAGTTATAGCTGTTAGGGAGGAGCCGGATGAAAGAAAGGCCCAACACACAGCACCACCGTGACGGGCCTTGACGATCAAGCTCAAATCCGGAGGGAGGGCACCAGCGTTGCCGGCTCGTGCGGCTTCCTCGTTGGCATAAGGTGGAGGCATATAGTCGGCAAGCTTTCCAGGACGTTGGAACATTTCGCCTTCATCGTCGGGGCCGTCCGTGTATTCGATGTCCTCGGCCATCGCTCTGGCCTCATCGGCGGTGTGCGAAACACCGACCAAATTACGCCAAGCAATACGGTCGAGCGAGTGACAGGCGGCGCAGACCTCTCTGTAGACCTGATATCCTCTCCGAATGCTGTAAAAATAGCCATGAGGGACAAGTAGAAGTACCAATGTTTTCACTCACCTAGCGTGGTCGAAAGTGTCCACAAACCCTTTGTGCGACCAGGGGTACTCGGGGGGATGAAGTCCCTCGTCACTGGCGTGGCTAGCGTGCACTTGCGAGAGGAAGGGAAGAGATCCGTAGAGATGAGTGTACCACGCAACCGAACCAGCAGTAAAGAGGGACAGAGAGACGAGAGTCGCGCGAGAGTTCAAGAACGACTGTTGGAACAATTGAGACCATTTCCGGAGTACGTGGAATATGACATACCTCAAATGCCGAGGAAGAGGACGCGGTGGATGCGTTACGGACCTAGGTTGGCGTTGAGCGGCCCGTTTTGGCTCGGAAAAGATGAGAAAGTACCGCAAATGGGCGAGCAATATGGAAGGCATTTTTGGACCGAAGAGCAGGGGAGGGAATGGCCCTGCTGAGCGCTCCTGCACCCAGACGCCTGGACAGCATTTTGTGGTTGGACCGAAAGGATGTGACGAAGGATGCGAGTCTGTGACTTTACATCTCCGGTTCTCTCCGCCCAATCATAGCGAGCTGATGACAGCCTTTGTTGTTGCTTGTCTGTGATGCGCCTGGGCCGCCATCTTCGCATATTGAGGAGCCGCCGAGCCGGGTACTTATTGTATTCGGATCTTATTTGAGCGCTTAAGCCACAGCCGAACATTCGTTGAGCATAGATAAATTATGCGGGTAATGCAATCGGGAGATGAAGTAGTCCAGGAATACAACGGCTCGTAGGCAAAAAAACGTATGTGGTATTCCTCCGCAGCCCTACGATGCCTACAGCAGACACTCGCACAATTCTAAAATGGTGAGATTTAAGACAGGAAGAAATTCAAATGCAATTACCTTCGGCACAGCAGCACAAACACATTCCTGTAGACAGTAGCATCGAACATTAGCCATAGAAAACCGCAAGTCGTTTTTCTCACCTGCTAAACAGGCCATGCACCCGCCACCACCACCTGATTGTTGCTGAGCAGGTTGTTGGCTAATACCACGGCTTTAGAAGGGGATCGTTCTAAAATTGAAGATACGAACACGTAGACGGTCTGGGGCTGAGGACTGGGCTGATATCCCTGTTGGGGGTAACCCTGTGGGGGGCCGTATTGAGGCTGACCGCCGTAACCCGGTTGTTGATAGGCGTTCTGGGGTTGCTGAATGGGGTGAGCAGGAGAAGCAGGAGCTGAAGGTAGCGACACACCTGAGGATAGTAGCCACCCTGCGCTTGCTGAGGCCCGCCTGAGAACAATGAACATTTGTACTTGACAACCGGACGTTGGCGGGCAGCATAGACGCCGAAGCCTCGCTTCACATACCTTGAGGAGGGTAATATTGTTGTTGTTGCTGTCCTTTGTAGTAGTCGTTAGCAGCCATGATTCGGGGTGGGTCGTCAAAGGTGGTGAGAGAGATCTTAAGACAAAAAAGGTGCTTGAGGCGGTGTACACGTGCTGACTGCGCTTGCCGGTTACATGATCACAATGACGGCATATGGTTAGCCGGGCAGTGTGCACTGCTAATAAGCGACAAGGCACTGTAAGCATGAACGACATTGAGAAGACGAATGGGCAAGTAACAGAAACGAAGGGTAATGTAAGAAAGTACATATTGCGGAATAGTTGCATCGCAGAATTTGTAGAATAATTGGCTGGGATCAGCGAGAAATTGCGTCTAGAGAGTTCATGCGTTGACGGAGGAATATCTGGGTCAGTCGTGTCTGTGCTGCGGTCGATAAGCTTGAGCCGAGAACGGCCTGATTCGGGACTTACGAAGAGCTGTGTACTCGTTATACGGGACGACATTAAAATTGTTGGTCTTGGTTTGTGCCAGTGATGTTCTCTGCAGGCCTGGGCCATTATGACTACGAACGCGCGCGCTGTTCAGAGCAGTCGATTAAAGGGGCAAATCAGCGACTTGCCTTAAAATGCGAATAAGGGTGATACCAAGTTGGAAACGACCCCGCCACCGGACGGATACGTCTGTGAAGATGAAAAATAAGCCCATATTGCCGTTGGGATCTTCGAGATGCTCCACAGTCGACACTAGCGATCCGTACAAGATAGGTTGCGTTGTGTTGGTAGGTAAGGTGGATCCCATGTCCAAAGGAACCGTTCCGTTCTCGGCGAACAAAGAAAGATGAGCCACAAGGAAGGGTAGTTCCTCCTCGCTTGCAGTCTATATATGAGGCTCCAGTAGTGTTTTTGACAGTGACCGACTTACGGCAGCATGATGTTTCCGGATGCATCGCGTACTGTCAGCTGGACAATAATCGGAGGAGTAAGAGGCAGGCGAGATAGAGGATTAGAATTTCCGAATTCGGCTGTTTGCTGGGGATTTTGGACTACCTGCAACTGATACGACCTGTATTGTCTCTGCCTTCAGCATCGAGGAAAGCCGGGCAGTCTGGGTATTCACCGATCTAAAGATGGGGCGGCGAGCAATGCGGACAGCTGTATGCGTGGATGAGCGCGTGATCGGGCCCGATGTGTTGTGTGCTGAATCACGTCACTTCGGTTGGACGAGGAAGAAGAGGATGCACTGGACGAATATGGAGGGGAGGCAGATGTCGGAGGGGAGGATAGATCGCTGCCCGCATCATAAAGAAAGGGGGTCTCATTGCCGGGCGCAGGTGAATCCCGTCCGGAAAACTTGGTCGTGATGTTCAAACGAGTGTGGGCCTTGGAGGTCTGTACAGTCCTCATTCCGTGAAATTACAGTCATAAAGCGTCGAAAAAATCGTATCTGATGGGAAGATTCAGCGGTAAAATATGAGGGAACCGCCTCAAAGTGGGGGAGCGCTGGTATCAGGATTGCTGCTTCGCTGAGCGAGGAGCAGCACCGCGAGCAGGGACGGAGATTGGAAGAAGCGCAAGCACCAACAGGTATCATTTATACCACCGCAAAGGCGTCTTACTTTCAAGATGAAAATCACTGTGGACATCCAGGCGTGGGTGAGAAGTAAGCATGGATCATACCAGTTCGTCCGGAAGTGTCCTGGAATCGGCTTGCTGTCTTAGATGAAGCAAGAAGATGATCCAGAATGAGGGGGTTATGTTAAATTAGAGCCGACATCGATCAAACATTCTTCTTGACATAACTCCAAATTCCCGCCATACCAGACATAAATGTGGCGGCCGCAAGCGCGGGCTTGACCCCAGCTGACGAGATAATCGCGGGTCAGAGTTTGCAGGATGACACGACGGCACGCATACCAGTGGACTTATAGATGGCGCCAGTGAGACCCCCTGCACCCATGCTACCGAACATGTCGTGCTTTCCGCGTATACCGTCGATCGAGGAATTGATCCCGTTGTAGACCAGGGCTATAACAGAGCGTGAGAGCTTTCACGAAGATCGTATCGTACAGAACCACACACCGAGCACACCAGCTGAATTTCCGATGAAAGTCCCCCTCCGTGTGACCGAATTCAATACGCTATTGATTCGCAGCCTTGAATTTGACACCGCAAGCTGCCTTGAAGCGCCTTCGCGCACACCCCAAGCACCGCCAAGAACCAGCCCTTGAAACCCGATTCAGCATGTGACATAAAAGAACAATAAGGACGGCCAAAGATGGGACGTTCGGGACAAAACGATAAGGTGGGAGACGTGTGAGCGAACCGGAAAGAGAGCCGAACGCACGCCGTGGTTCGAAAGTAGTAATTTCAAAGAGATCTCAACGCACCACCGAGATACATGGTCCCTGTGCCATAGCAAAGATCATCACTCCATCCCCTCGAGGGAATAGCTGTTCTAGAGCCCGGCGTGTCGTTCGTCTTATCATCTTCGAGAAGCAGGTAATCTAATTTGTCACCCAACCCGGCGAGTGGGTGCAGTTTGGCGGGGTCGTAAGCTCCCAAGAGAAGCTCTGAAGCAGTCGCGACGTGGTCCGCGCTGGCAGTGCTAGAGTCGGAACGAGAGAAGGTGGCCGAGCGAAGATAATCCGACGGGTTCGACGAGGAAGAAGACGCCGAGGCACCGGGGGCATCCTGTGTGGCCATGGCCGTCGTATGAAGGGAAAATTTGGGATCAAGTCACGCTATGAACCGTGGCGTGACGCACGTCATTTACGGGAATGTTTAGATCGGCGAGGTTCTTGTGCAAATTGACCCGACCTGGAGCAACTAGGTCGCTTCAACGCCCCAACATTACCAGACCTGAGTCAAGGAGTGAGTTCAGTGCCACCAGAAAATTTGCTGTCTCAAATACATGATAGGATGGGCCACATCCACGACTGCACACTCGACGACTGCTGATCCGGCGGAAGTCGAGGCCATGCAATGGTCGGTGTCTTTTGAGATAGCTTCCCCTTAACCATTCTGTGTTTTTGTTGGACTGGCTCACGTTAACGTAGTTTGGAACAAGGGACGGCGAAATTGGAGGAAGGCGACGTTCATGCCGCAAAAGATCTATACAGCAGGAGTGTCGAAATACGACGCAATGCCTCTTCTCTCTTCAATCTCGGTGTTACTCATTATCACCTGAGTGCGCTATCTCCCCTTCGAACCCACCTCTTCTCTCATCTGTTCAGAGGAATTCGATCAAGCAATCGAGTCGTGGACCGAGTCAATTACCATGCAACCATCCAGTCCTGACGCTCACACGAGTGAGTGCGTCATATTGTTCGGGATGGCGTGGCTCATCGCCAACAGATCTTGCGTCGGCATACATCATGTCGCCTGTGTCACGGCCCGACCTCGCACTCAAGCATCTGCGGTCCGCTCGCGTCTCGACACTGATTTGCATCCTCTGAGTCTGTGGCAGAATCGCCGTGTCCTTATCCCCGGAAGACGCCGAGATTGCGTTCAATCTGGCGGCTGTTCTCGAAGCCAGTATGTATGAGATTCGGCTGTGTGCTCTTGGTTGACCCTTCCTCGTCTGGCAGCGGGCCATCTGGAAGAAGCACTGGAACAATATCAGCGCAGCAAAGACTACGGCGTCGATGTGAGTTCCCGTGTTTTCTCCTCTCCACTGCCTCGGGCCCATGCCACCATAGAGAGCTGCCATTCATATTCGCAATGTCGGCGCGAAGATCTTGGGACGCAAACTGAAGGAAGAAGAAGCAGAGAAAGGATCACAGTCATGATCTCTGTCACCGGTAGAACAGATTGTCCTCCTCTATTGTATTACTCTCTTCCTAGAGCCGATCTTGAGCTGGGTATTCCATCCGACCTTTCAACTGATGTGTTCCATTCCGGTTCGGCCAAGGCTGCCAGCGCTGGCCATCTGTTCAGGCTGCGCGACGGCGCGACACCGTGACCACCAGTAGAATGGACAAAATGGCTGCACCAGCCATGAGTTTCACGTCGAACGACAGTCCCTCCAGAATCCGGTCAATAGCATGGCTGGAAAAGAGAGGATGACATACTGAGCGCCGGATCGGCGACGAATCCCGCAGTCGACCAAGAATTGTGGAGAGTGTGTCCTGTGAATACAGTAGATGCTGCTCCGCAGGCTCCAGATACAGAACTCGGCTGTGACCCTCCGTCTCATCTGGTAGCCGGTAGTCGGAGGAAAATCGCGCGAGGATAGACATGGCCTGTTCAGGATCTTTGATTGTGGGATGCCCAATCCCTGCAATTCAGAGATCAAAATGGAAGGCAAGTTACGACATGAAATAACCTATGTACTCGTCTGCAGTCGGGCCGCACAGATCTGTGAAACGGCATAAGCACACGAACAAACGCGGAATCTCGTTCACCTACCCGTTCTGGGGTATCGAAGACCTGGAGACACGGTCAGCGCTATTCATCCCGGCAATGGTCAAGTGCACCAAAATCCAAGACTGTACACCTTGCTCGCGCCCAATGGTGATCCAGTGGTTTCGTTGGCTAGTGGAAATCAGATTCGTAGACTCCGATCTCTTGGGGATGATCACGACATTGCGTTAAAGTTGGTGCGGTCAATGATCACAGAATAGCCTTGTCGAAGCGAGTCTCTAGCAAGTTGCTCAACCCTGCGGCGATCTCCCAAGTCATCTTGGCTGCAGCGAACAAAGATTTCAGGCATCTCGTTGGCCAGAGCTTGCGCAAAGGTGCTCTATTGCATTGAGAATTATGTTTTGCCAGACTTGTATATATACCTTTCCTGAGCCAATGAGCCCGACCAAGATCAGGACGATTTGACCGTCGGGGAAAAGTAGCGGGTCTGATTCTGTTCCCGTCATGGTCTCGCTAGACGAGGGAAGGTATAGACCGGTGACTCTAATTCAAAGACCGAAATCCTCGAATTGGTGTCTCGGACGAGCTGTGACTATTGGTGATGTTCCGTGGGACCGTGACACAATCAGTCCTAGGCTCGGAAATTTGAAAACTTCGAGTTGCAGTCCAAACTCAAATCATGCGATGAGTTTGGTATGTATGTACATTAGAATCCAGTTCATGTAAATCTTAACGTCCGTTCACCGTGGCAGAAGAATCTCTCCGAGAAACAGGTGTCGGTCCTGGCTGAACTTCAGCGGCGGGCAGTTGATTTGGATGGTTTGGAAGATTGCCAATCTCTTTCTTGGCCTCCTCCCACGCTTCCAAGTTCTGGTGGACTTGAATATCGCTGATACTCGACAGAACTTGTCACTCGCCTTTTGGCACCAATCACGATGGCTTCGAGCCATGCTAATGGCCATTTCGCGCAAATCGGCCACTTTCTGGCGCTGAAATCGGTCAAGATCCGCTTGAATTGTGGAGCTCGTGTATTTCAGGTCCTGAGTCGACAGATGGAGCGCATCCTCGAGCTGCAACGATGTTCAGCGCACTGAATGCACAACCGCAGATCACACTCCCCTGGGAGATACTCTCACGGGTCTTGGTTATACCGTTTCGGCGCGCAGTCTCAGGATCCACATCCATCATTCCATGCAGTGTGTAGCTCAACGCATTCAGCAGACCCATGCCTGGTGCTCGTCGTCTCGAGGGATTCGGCCCCGGATGCGGCGGAAGATGTGTCGATCGAGATACTGCCGGCTCTTCACTCCCGCTCGCTGGGTCACTGGCGACGGAGCCACGGCTCAGAGCTTGCTCCAACCGGCGCGCTTCTCGCTCGCTCTTCTCAAGTTCCTCCAGCTGCTCTCGCTTGACTTCGAGTGCGTCCTGGGTCATTTCGTATTGCACATGCTTTTGGTGCCGATAAGCCAAAAGTTTCTTGATGATGGCGGCAAATTGCGTGTATTCGTGCAATGGTTCCGTCCAATTCTGCTCCACGTCCTGGAGCTACGCCCCTTGTTGTCAACTTCGCGAAGTAGAACAGGCACCGGAGAACGCTTACCAGCTTTGTGGTCGACATGTATGTGGCATCAATCGCTTGGCCCGTCTTCTCGATGGCAGCCGACAACGGGCCGGTCTCGTGCAGGCTGAATCCATTCAGCGCCGCACCAAGGTCAGCATGATCTTGAGCGTAGTCTGCCATCGCGAAAGGTTCATGTCAGCCTAGAACACAGGATCTTACGTGCACTGACCTGACCACCGCTTCAGAACTCGCCTGCTGACTTTCTCCATAGGACCGCTGACGTGATTGGCGAACTTCAGGGTGAAAGCTTCAGAATCCAAGAACCGTTGATCCGGATGCCTCAGGGGATGGGCGGCGGAGGGATTCGGCAAAGCCGCATACGCTGGTGAGGCATTCTGGTCCGTTGGATTATGTGATGGAGCCTTGAGAATGTTCTTCGGCAGCAGAGAAAGCGGGGGAGAATTGAGAACCTCGTTCTACAAGGACAGATCTCAGCCGATGGAGCACCTTCATTGCAGAGTTCACGTACCCAGGACACCTCTCCATCCAAGAAACGATGAAACACGTGGTCGTTGGACAAGATGGGGTGTTTCGCAATGCGATTCAAGAAAGTCTGAAGCATCCGTTTCCTCCTGGCAATCATCGCGGCATCCTCCTTAGCCTTGCCTTGCTTCACTGCATAGTCGCTGATAGTCTGCTTGGACGGTATAGGTGGAATAATGAGCGTGGGATACAACTTGATTAGATTCAATCGCAGCGATTCGAATTCCGAGTAACGATGACGGGCTTCAGCGTTCTGGAATGAGATCAATCGCAGAGCCACAAAACTCAACAGCACACTCACCCCGGTCTGAATCACATATACAATGTAGGGTGAAGTGGAGTTCACCGTCGTCTTCTGGGCATCTGAGATCTGAAACGGGGTGAGCCATGCAGAGGGGAGACAGACACTGCAACGGACCACTATCTCATCGTCATCGCCGGAATGAAGCACTCGGTCCGTCGCGCAGCAGAAATCAGTCCTCGGAGTAGGCGCAGATTGCCTCTGGGTGCGCGGGGAAGGCAGCTGGTGACTGGGAGAGGTCGGTAGAGAGGGCTCCCGTCGAGGCGGCGAGGGGGGCTCGGACAAGTCGACACGGACAGGCGAAGACAGTCCCGACTCTGACTCGAAGGGGTTCTCGTCTTCAAAGGCGTCCATTCGCAATACGGGAAGTTTCACGAGGTGCTGAGGAGTTGCGGTTCACGGATGGGTATATTGAGCACAGAGCCACTACGCCACGCCGTCGTTGAAGGAGCAGACGTGTTTGCCTCTCGTTGAGAGTGGTGGAGACTGGGTGCCAAAGGGCAAGAGACGCGCGCAGTAATACCTGCAGAGGTAGTATACTATTTGTATCTGTTCGGTTCCACATCACATAATCTTTAGACAGAGCATTTGGGCGACAAGGGCTCTTATCAGTCGGTGTACATATACATGCAGTGCCAATCTAACCAAAGACTTTGAACCCCCCCTGGAGTATTTCAGCCGCAGGTGCGTCCAGGTTAATATTCCCTAATGCATTTTCTAATCCCCGTCCCATAAGAGATGAGAACAGCTCGTCAATCTGCTCATCATGCCACATCCCGGGAACTGGCACAGGGACCATAAAGTGCTGCAGTTTCTCGTGTGCCTCATATCTAAGCAGAGTGAGTAGGCATATGATAAACAGTCAGATCACCGAACCGGAGTTTTCGGCCTTTGCTCGCTTTAGTGTCGACCGTCTTTTTCGCCTTCTTTTGCTTCTGTACTACTTGCCAATGATCAGCACCAGAGTCGCCGCTCCCCCGAGAGTCGATGATGTCTTTTAATAGTTGCTGATAGAAGTCGTTGTCATCAAAGCACTCGATATCAACATCCTCCTCGCCATCCAAACCAGCAACTTCCCCGATCCTCAGAGTGTTATTCCGGCGCGCTTGGGTCCTGGCGACTAATTTGCGGTGATCGAGAAGAGTCTCGTCTATGAGTTGCACGGCGGACTTGAGATTTTGAGAGTTGCGTGAAGAAAAAGCCGTGCGACTCGACGCCATCAAAGCAGCCGGAGCCACTGCCTGGATTTTGGACGACCACTTCGAGAGTGTCTGGACCGTGTGTGGATGGATTCTGGCAGTGGGTCAGCAGAGAATAGGAACAAAAGTGGCGGGCGAGCGTACGCATGCTCGATATTAGCTGCATGTGCTGCGGCGTCATTGAGTAGTGTCGAATACTCGTCGAGGGTGCCCTCAAGATCAAGCTTCCGCCGCTTACGAGCAGGCAAAGAGACAACCTCATTTGCAGACACAAGTTTCTACAAGAGTCAGTCGATCCACCACAATGCGAAACAGCAAACACGGACCTCTTGCAGGCTGAACAGATCGTCTGACAGCGCGAAGGCTTCATCAAGCATCTTGTTCAAGGCCGAACGGCACTCTGGTATTTCCTCGTATCGCTTGATATTAGCAGACTAGAACAAAGAGTAAGTGTGATTGCTTTCGGTATGGAAAGAACATGTCTCACCGAAGGTAGACGATTTGCGCAGGTGGCTGACTTTTGAAGTCGTATACGAGCATCTAGGAGGGCGTCCCAAATCGCCTTTATTTCGAGTTAGATTTTAGAAAGCGGTATGAGAGACTGTGGGCCGCACGATCTGTTGCGTAACGGCTTGACCTTTCTTCCGGTCCTCTGCACGCGTCTTCTGTAATGTTGACGACAGTGCTCCCTCAGACGTGTTCACAGTGTCTTGAGGAGCGGGAGGGGTTGGGAGAGGTTTAAGGTTCGAGGGGTCCTCATTCATAGCATCCTCGTCGTCTTCCTGATCTCCACCAGTTCCGTCTTCATCTTCGTCCTCCTCTATGTCTTCGTCCCCGTCCTCCTCTCCGACCGGCCCATCTCCATCTCCATTACTTTCATCTTCATGTCCAACTGGAGATTCGAGGGTATGGAAAGAGTCTTGGTCATCCGAAAAATCTTCTCCGGCGCTATCAAGTTCTCTCTCCTTCAGCTGGTCGCGTGAGATCTTGACACCAGCATATTTGGGATCTGCCACGCTCTGTAGCCTCCGAAGATTGCTAGGACTGGCTGCGATTCAGCAGGGTCTCATGTGCGGATGTCTTTCTAGCGCACCCCACATCTACGTAATGTTCCCGAGCATTGTCGTCCACGAGTATGTCTTGAGCATCAAGTCCTGCCTGAACATCTTCCGGGTCGAGATCTAGAGAAGTGTGGGTAGAGTTGAAGCAATAATAAGTTTGTTCGAGTACCGACTGGAGCAGGTTCCTGGAGCTGGGCAATTTGCTCCGCGAGCGAGAGTCGAACAGACATGATGGACTGAGCAGAGAGAAAAATGTGCGTGAGAAAAAGAGTGGAATCTTATCAGATACTGATTCCAAGATCAAGCAACTCCTCCATGTTTACACACTACAGACATGCGACACAATATACAAAAGCAGGACCTGATAATCTATGGCTCAAGTCGCAATTGGCCCACTTTTTCGCCCTTGCTGTCAGAAACGGAGACGGACAGAGCGCCATCCACGGCCAACACCAATTCTATCTGCAGCGAAGCAGAGAATGCGCCCTTCTTGGATTTGTCTTTGACACCTTTAGTCTCGCCCTGGACTGCTCCCAGGAAATTGGTTTTGGAGACGGTCTTGGTCTTGACTTCCTCAGGCTCGTCTTCCTCGTCTTCGTCTTCATCTTCCCCATCCTCGGGATCCCGCTTGGGGGGCATGATCTTGTCAACTTTGACGCCTTCTTCGACCTCCCAGACCTCGAATGCGAACTTCTTGGCTTTGTCACCCTCGCCTCCAGCGAGAGCAAGCTCCTCAACCTGAAAGATCCGTCGGGCCGGGAGGGGCGTGTGCTTGTGGAGCACGGGTATGTAGAATCCACCCATCCCATCCAACCCACCTTCCGCGGTCGGAAACACGATACCGATTGTCCGCGTGGTCGTCTTGACTTGAGCGGCGCCTTCGAAGGCTTGAGCTAGTTCGGGCACATCCTCAGAAAGTCCAAACAGCAGCGAAGCCTGGATTGCGCATCCGATGGACAATACGCCTGTAGGATCACCGATCGCCCCGCTGCCCATCGTTCCGTTGGAAAAGGGTGTCTGGACATCCTCACTGAATCCGACACTCGACAGCAAGTGGCTGTCCAGTCCCGGCAGACAGCCCGTACCGCCAACATACGCAATCTCGTCGATGTCATGCGGGTCGAGAGGAATGGTTTCCAGAAGCGACTTGATCTCAGACGAGATCGCGTTGTAAACAGGTGCGGCCAGTAGGTCAAAGCGCATCCTCGCGATCGTCGCTGTGAAATCTAGGCCGGAGTGTAGGGATTCGACAGAAATGGATGCAGGCGTCGAAGAGGCACTGAGTGTTCGCTTCGTGTATTCGATCGCTAGAAGCAGCTTGGAGGTTGCTCGGATGTCCTCCTTGGACGACGGCGGCTGGGGAAGTTCTGTCTTGGTCTTTTTGGTGAACTCCTTCGAGAAATGCTTGACCAATGCCGCGGACAATGCAGAACCGCCAAGTTTTGTGCCATCGACGACCGTCTTGGAACCAAGGATGTATCCCAACCCCGAGCGCAGTGCGATCACGGACAGAGACAAAGAGGAGGCACCGACATCGACTACCAACTGTGTTCGATCCTCGGCTCCGGCAGGCCATTGAGGGCAGGTTGTGGTGCAAAGCGCAGCGCTCGACTCGTCCAGCAGCTGCAGAACACGGACATCGGCAGACTCGGCAGCCTTTTTTAGTGCGTCCTTCTGGGCCGGGGTGAAAGATGGCGGAGAGGTAATGACTGCTCCTTGGAGAGGTTTTCCGAGGAAATCGGAAGCAACTTTCAAGAGATACGCCAGGAACATCGTGGTGACCTCCTCCGGTGTAAGGATGCGTGTAGAGGGAACAGGTTCCGAGCGCGGTGTCGCAGCGTTCGAGGCAGCCGGTGTGTTTGCAGCCGAGGTAGGGAGAGGCGAGGGAGCAGGCTGAAGGACATCGACTTTGTAGGCGGGAGTGTCCGGTTCAGTAGGGTGCTGTATGACAGGCGCAGATTCGCTCTTCTGGGACTGGTCGATTTCAGAGAACCTGAGAATTGGATATCAGCATGCCCCCAACCAATGCAATGAAGAGCTCACTTCTTTCCAAGAAGGTTTCTAAAACCAGCGATTGTGTTTTGAGAGTTCTTGACGAGTTGAGGGAGAGCTTGGTTGCCGATGTACTGGTAATCACGTCCATCGGGAATCCACATTTGAGTGCAATGAAAGAACGCACGATTTCTTCCCCATGAAACGCGATGGCACACGCAATTTGCCTTTCTCCATTCTCATTTGCGATGCACTCTGCTATTCCCTCCTGCAACCACCAATCTGTTTGATATACTCGATGGTCTGCACAAAAATCGACGGACCTTGGTGTAGACCGCCACCGAGGCGTAGGTATTTCCAAAGTTGATACCCACAACCGGAGGGAGGTTGGACGTCGCTGCTTGCGCGTCGCCGTTGGGGGTGGCGCTCGGAGCCATCTACAAGGTCTAGAGGGTAATGAACTGGAATCGAAAAAAGCTGGAATCTGATCTCGAGCATGATCGATTAACAGATGCAAAGGAAGGAGATAAGATAAGATCTTTCTGTGAACGCCAATTAGATCTGAACTTGATCTCAGAGTTGAGAAGCATTCGAGAACACCAATTGAAAGGACTTCAGATTCAAGAGGGACAATTGCGATTCAGAAAAATCTAATTCTGAATTATGTTAAGACTCCACCTCAGAAAGCTTCATATTCCGAACACACGTCGTTCAATCTAACGACCCAGTCGCTCATTTCTCTGGTGGCTTCGTCTCCTGAAGGTCTACAGGAGCTTATTCAACAACAACAGGAAAGCGGCTGGTGGTTGAGATTACAGCATGCGGATCATCATAATTATTAACGTAGAACGCGGTCACATGATTGATGAACCAGCCATCAACCAAGTCTGGCACCCCCCGGATTCAGAAGTACAGCTGAGCAGAGTAAACAGGGGGCGAAGGAGGTGTAGATAATGCGGCTGATCCCTACAAGTAGAGCGGCCTGTGATCTAGCGCTTCCCAGCTGGTTAAATGGCTATGGGTATTCGTGCCCCGGACAATACTGTGATTGCTTCCCCAATGTGTCTACCTGATCCCACAGTGACAAGTGGGGCCTCACGGGATATTGGGCTGCGAGTCACTGCAATCTTCGTTATTCTCGTTGGCTCGACAGCTGCAGCGTTGCTTCCCGTCTTTCTTGTGGCCCGTCATCACAGATCCTCAGCACCGCAAACACAGCTTCGCGTACTCTTTCTGTGAGGAGCCCTTGATGGAGCATATCGTACTAGATCTGACTGCGGAGCTAGATCAGCAAAGCACTTTGGTGCTGGGGTCATTGTATGTTTCTCTTCGCGATCCAGTGCTAGCAGTCGTCCTGATGACAGCAGCTTGGGACGGCATTCATTCACCTCCTTGCTCCTGGAATGCAGGCTCTGAGCAACGATTGCTTGCCGGGCGGGTGGAAGGAGTATGTAAGCAGCCAATTCTTATCGTGCGATGTCCTCATAAGAGCCACCAACATAAATCACTCAGCCATACGCCATGGGACTATGTCTCTTAAGCATCCTGTCCGTCTTTATGGTCCAGGTGATAGCCCTGCGCGTCGAGGCCAAGGCAAGAAGTGCGTGCCTTTTCCCCATACTTACCTTGAAAAGAAGTTGAAAGCTGTGCTGCAGTGGGGATAGGGGCTCAGATCATTGGGCTGGCTATTCTGGAATGCGGAGCTGTCCTGCACAGGCAAGAGCCAATCCATTCCTCAGATCCGGCTCGCTTACCACTTGGCAATGCATGACCAGCGTCTTGATAGGCCTGACTCTCGCGGCTGCTCCAAAATTCAAGACGCTGTTCGTAGTCTTGCTATTGCATCGTAAGCCCAGGCACCCATATGACCGTCACTCCGTCTCAAACAGCGCGTAGAAATATTTGAGGGTGTAGGAATAGGCTCCCGCTTAGCAAGCGTAGAGTTCTCGGCGCATCCAGTCTCGTTTCCTGTCATAGGCGCCGTGGTTTTTGGGCTGAGCACGCCAGTGGGTGTGGCCATTGGGCTCGCGACAGGCGCTAAATCAGAGGAGCGGTCTTCCAACGCACTCATCGTCTCCGGAGTCCTGGACTGTCTGAGCGCGGGTATCTTGATCTACACTGCGCTTGTGGAGGTGCGCCCAGGGCCCTTGATAATTTATCCGTCGTTCATAGCGCCTGCAGCTTCTGGCTCGCGACCTTCTTGCGGACGAGACTTTACTCCGCGGCTCTTGGAAAGAACTTGCTCTCGTCTTATTCTTGTTACTCAGTGGTTGTGGGGTGATGGCTCTTTTGGGTAAATGGGCGTAAAAACTGTACAATGCGGCGAATGAAGACTAAATGAGACTGACTAAAAGTCCATATATTCCCGACGGTTGCTGCCTCCCCACCCGGTTACAGTACTCGACCCATAAGGATCTTCAATGGTGACCCCTGCATGCGATTCACCCTCTTTCAATGAGAATTCTCGCTTGAATTTGGCTTCGAGCGACGAGATGGTCGCAATCAATTTGGTGCATGCATTCTCCATGACAGTCTGCGGTGTTACTGTTCCGTCTGTCTGGATCTTGATGATGAATTGCGGAGTCAACGGATGCGCAACTTTGTAGCCGGCGAAGAGTACAGATGGCTCAGAGAGTAGTTGGCTGAAGCAAGTGTTGGCAGGGCAACAAAAGAATGGACGGAAACCAGAAAGCGTACGCTCGCAGCATGTTCGCCAGCGTATGATCCTCCTTGAGAATCGTGAAAGTTGCAGCGTTGGGAATCTTGGTATCCTCGGCGACATCCAATCTACAAACATGGTGAGAATTCCCGGACACTCATATCCTGCCCACCCACAATTTCTCTCCGTCTTCCAGAACGTAGAGCTCGTATCGATTGATAGCGTTCATAGTCGAAAGATCAAGCGCTATGATGGGAGTTAGCGCCGGACCATCTGTACCAGGAGGTCGCAGAAAAGATGAGCCATCCGCCCTATGGCTGTGGAGATAGGGATTCGAGAAAGTCTTTAACGACAGTCGGTACGCGACATTGTCTCCTAGGCCTTGGATATGCGAACAGAGTATTGCGTACCAAGCTGACAGAGGGCAAGTGCGGACACGTACACAAGACCAAATATCGACTACATAACCCTTCCTTCTTCTCCAATCCCGCTGCGCAGCTGCTGGGAAATTACCAGTCTTTGGGAGCGACACCTTCAAACTTGAAATGTCCACTACACCTACCAGGAAAGAGAACGTGCCGATCAGAGAGTCTGTTTGTTTTTCGGACTAATCGACGCGTCTGTTGACGCGACGCGAGCAGCAGCGAAGGCCGTGGAGCAGAGCCGGCAGCCAAGAGAAGAAAGCTGGGTGCGGGAAGTTCATTTTCGGGGTCACAGCCTTCCAAGTCAGCATTCGTGGAGCTCTTGGAGAAGTATGAGACAGGCGGGAAAATGGGTGCGGGTGCGCGCTGCTCCGGGTTCACCCGCGATCCCGTTCTCTCTGACGCAGTTCTTGATAGCTACCAAAGAAGGAGGTGCAGACCTTTGGTCACGACCTACACTACGAGGCATTGAATCTAGGAAGGACTGCATCGGTACATCTCGTTCTGCCACCGACAGCACCCATTGACCATGTCGGCTAGTCTTTCAGCAGATCGATATAGAGGAGACCGACTCGTTCGGTGCTGTATCTATCAATATGTATGGTGTGACTCAGGTAAAATGTGCGCTCTCTGTCCGTAGATCCATCCAACGGATCACAGGAGGGCAACAGTGTCCTAGCCCATGTCACCAACTTTCTTCCCTACTTTTACGTCGGACAACCTCGCGGCTTCCGTCAAGAGGATATAGAGCCCTTTCGACAGCATCTCAATGTATGATTCATACAACCGCTTTCTATGTATGCCGCCTAATCGCTGGCGCAGGGTCTGGTGGCCGGAGACCCTGTCGTTGATGTTTGCCTCGTTTCCAAACGAAGCTTATGGGGCTACCGTGGAGATGACTGGGTTCCCTTCATCAAGTTGACGGTCTCAAACCCCAAGAGTTTGCCCAAAGTTCGAGATGAGTGCTTCCAAGGCTGTGGGCTGCGTCATTTCACTTATCTTCTTATGGATCCCACGCTTGTTCGAGAGGAACGAGTGCCGCTACGATTTCTTCCCCACGGAGAACCCAATCGCTACCTTTGAGAGCAACATTGCGTATACTCTCCGGTTCATGATTGACACTAAGGTGAAACTCAAGTTACCTGCGCTCCCCTCATTTCTGACATGCACAAGATCGTCGGCATGAACTGGGTCGAGATTCCTGCCAACAAATACACCATTCTATCGGGCAAGGAGAAACAATCGCGTTGTCAGATTGAGTTGAATGTCAGGTTTGTCTCGTCGACACTTAACAAAGGACCGTTCAAGATCTTTCTGTAGATATGATGCCCTGATTTCGCATTCCCCGGACGGAGAATGGTCGAAGATCGCTCCACTACGGATTCTCAGTTTCGATATCGAGTGTGCCGGAAGAAAAGGAATCTTTCCTGAAGCCGAAGAAGACCCTGTAATACAGATTGCGAATATGGTCACTCGCCAAGGCATGTCAATCCATCCACATCATGTATTGACTGATCGAGAAACAGGGGATCAGAAGCCCTTCATTCGAAACGTGTTTACGCTCAACACTTGTGCGCACATTGTCGGCTCTGACGTTCGTTCGTACACGAGCGAGAACGAGCTATTGCAAGGGTGGAGTGATTTCGTGTCTGAAGTGGATCCGGATGTTGTGATTGGGTACAACATTGCTGGATTCGATTTCCCGTACCTGCTAGATCGCGCCAAGGCATTGAAGGTCGCCAAGTTCCCGTACCTGGGCAGGCAATTAGGCAGGTTGCATGCCATTGATCTGACGCCCGACTGACTAGTTCCAGGCCACAAGACCGAGGTCAAAGACACGCACTTCTCTTCGAAGGCTTACGGACAACGAGACTCGAAAGAGACGCAACTTGAGGGCCGACTCCAGCTCGATGTCCTGCAATTCATGCAGCGAGAGCACAAGCTCCGGAGCTATACGCTCAATTCGGTCTGCGCGCAATTTCTGGGAGAACAGAAAGAGGACGTGCACCATTCGGTCATCACTGAGCTACAGAACGGCACGGCAGAATCACGCCGACGACTTGCCGTGTACTGCTTGAAGGACGCGTACCTTCCGCAACGGTTGCTGGACAAGTTGATGTGCTTCGTGAATTATGTGGAGATGTCGCGAGTGACTGGTGTGCCGTTCAACTATCTACTCTCTCGGGGGCAATCGATCAAGGTTCTGTCGCAACTCTTCCGACGAGCGAATGACGAAGGATATGTTGTCCCTGCGCTCAAGGGCGAAGGATCGGACGAGCAGTACGAGGGAGCCACCGTCATCGAACCGAAGAAGGGCTACTACGACGCGCCCATTGCCACACTGGATTTCAGCTCGCTCTATCCCTCCATTATGATGGCACACAATCTCTGCTACACGACGCTTTTGGATCGTGGCACCATCGACCGACTAGGTCTCGTCAAGGATGTGGACTACATTCTGACTCCGAACAATGGTGCGCGCAGTGCATGTCGTTGGCAGCTGCTGAGAGCTGATATGTTGACTAGACGTGTTCGCCACTTCGAAGAGACGGAAAGGGCTGCTTCCTATGGTGCTAGAAGACCTCATCGCAGCTCGAAAGCGTGCCAAAGCCGATTTGAAGAAGGAGACAGATCCATTCAAACGTGCGGTGCTCGATGGTCGGCAGCTCGCTCTCAAGGCGAGTGAACTATCTTCGCTTGATGTTCGATGGTCCTGATGAAACACTAGATCAGTGCCAATTCTGTGTACGGTTTCACAGGCGCAACAGTAGGAAAATTGCCCTGCCTGGAGATATCATCCAGTGTGACTGCCTACGGGCGGCAAATGATCGAGAAGACCAAACAGGTGCGACCTTTCCAGGCATTTAACCCGTCGTTGCTGACATGTCTTCCAGGAAGTCGAGGCCGAGTACTGCATAGCCAACGGCCATTCTCACGACGCCGAGGTCATCTATGGAGACACGGACTCTGTGATGGTCAAGTTTGGTCCAGCAGAGCTCGAGAGAGTGATGGCCTTGGGTGCTGAGGCCGCTGATCTTGTGACCGCCAAGTTCGTCAAGCCGATCAAACTTGAGTTCGAAAAAGTGTATTTCCCGTATCTGCTCATCAGCAAGAAGCGATACGCGGGGCTGTATTGGACGCGGCCTGAAAAGTACGACAAGATGGATACCAAAGGGATCGAGGTGAGTGCTCAACAGACCCTGCCAACTTTTCGCAGGCTGAGATTCCATTGCAGACTGTTCGCCGAGACAACTGCCGGCTTGTTTCGACGGTCATCGAGACATGTCTGCACAAAATGCTGATCAATCGCGATGTCAAAGGGGCAGAAGAGTGCGTCTGACTTTCGGGTGTCCCACTTTCTCCCACTGAAGGAACAAAAAGGTACACAAAGCAGGTCATATCCGATCTCCTGCAGAACAAAATCGACATGTCACAGCTGGTGATCACCAAAGCGCTAGCCAAGAGCGGTGCGTTGCTTAACAGAGCCGTGCGCTGTGTTGATCTCATCTTGGACAGATTATGCTGCGAAACAGGCCCATGTTGAGCTGGCTGAGCGGATGAAGAAGCGTGATGCGGGCTCTGCACCTGCCCTCGGCGATCGTGTTGCTTATGTGATCATCAAAGGCATGAAGGGTGCTGCAGCCTACGAAAAGTCGGAGGATCCGCTCTACGTTCTTGAGAACAATGTCCCGATAGACACCAAGTACTATCTCGAGAACCAGCTCTCCAAACCGCTCATGAGGATCTTCGAGCCTATCCTCGGCGAAAAGGCCAACTCATTGCGTGAGTTGTGTTGATTTAGAGTTGTTCCTCGGTCTCTTACACAACTCCAGTCTCCGGGGACCATACTCGCACGATTCAGATCGCCACACCGACCGTCGGCGGGTTGATGAAATTTGCGGTGAAAACGGTTACGTGCCTGGGATGCAAAACACCCCTTCGGGCAAACAACAGTGTCAAGAGTGCGCAACCGTTTCCAGCATTAACTCTGTAGACTGAGATGATTTTCTTCAGATGGCGCGCTTTGCAAAGACTGTCGACCCCGGATGGGCGAGCTGTACCAGAAACAAATCTCGACGACTTCGGCCCTGCAAGTGCGATTCTCGCGGCTGTGGACCCAGTGCCAGAGATGCCAGGGGTCTCTGCACCAGGATGTTCTCTGCAGCAGTAAAGATTGCCCCATCTTCTACATGAGGAAAAAGGCGCAGAAGGATGTCGAGGACGCCAGTTCCGTTCTGGAGCGATTCGATTCAGATGTGTGGTGATAGTCGATGTCCCAGTGTATTCTATTCTTATGTGATTGTGTTGTGCTGTGTGTTGTCTGAAAAGCGGTCTCCGTGCTGTAGCACATCTGAGATCAGGATATTTCAACCGAAACTCCTTCCGGCTCGCCCAACTGCAGTATTTGGTCCTCAGTTGCTTCATACCAGATATCTTAACCGATGCCTGCTAGTGAGAGCTGACCAATGCTGGGATGGAACTTGTTTTCAGTCGAGCCAGGGCTGTCGAAGGGGGACAAGGGGTGTTGGAATCATTACATTCCATTTGTAATTTAATCGCCCGTGCTACGCTTCAAATGAACTCTGCTTTAAGAATGCGCAGGGTGTCTTCAGAGTTGAGGACTGAGTGCCCGATAGTACGAGGGTCGGAGAAAATCTCGTAGTCATTTCCACCCTGCTCGAGGTATCAGCTTTGCCAAGCACACGAGATCATCGTTGGAGCAGAACCTTGTAGGTCTTGTCGCCAAAGAAATGAATCTCCTCGAATCCCTCGTCCTCGACGTGTCGGAGGGCATACGTCTTGTCCCATCCGGTCGGAAACACATCAAACGAGATTTGGCCACCGATCGAGAACGTGAGACCGTAGTCGGCGAATTTCTCTTGCAGGATCTTGACGAACGCAGTCCTCAGCCCGTGAATCTGCCGACACATTCAGTTCGTCCACACGCGAGTCTATCGAATCAGATGCAGCGGAACCTTGTCGTACGCCTCAAACTCCTTCCGCTCTGCGATTCTGCATTCATTGAGCTGACATTCACGATGCTTTGGGGCTTGCTCACGTCGCGTTACGGCCAATGGGGCTGACGTTGATCATCCCGTTGCGGAACTCGACAAACGTGCCTCTGCGCGCGATTCTCGTTCAAATCCAAGCATAACAACGAGGGATGGGGGGCAAACCGTTTGATAGGAATGTCCATGTCGGCGATGTAGTGCAGGATGAAGTTGACGAGGGGTTTGTACCGCTCTTCCCCAACGTATTTGATGAACGACTGGGATTCCAGGGGCTGGCCGAGTTTGTACGCGACGAGCCCATTCTCGCTGAACCCGTAATCAAACTCCTTCAGGGCTGTAGATATACCATGCGGTCAGGACGCGGAAGCCACGAATAAGGTAAGTACCGACCATCCGCGCCGTGCACCGACAACTGTCCGGTGATCTTGGCGAGGTCGGATCCGCCGACGAAGCCGATAACGTACTTCTTCCGCAGCGCGCGTAGGGCCTCGATCATCTCCAGTGACGCGCCCTGTGCAAACACGTCAGACCGACGAACATCCTGATACAGGCATCCGCGTCTTTCGAACCTGACGCGCAGGGGTAAGAGTCTCGTCGACATCGAACAAAATTAGTTTCTTGGTGGCCCGGTCTGCGAATGCGGAGGAAACCATCGTAGTAGTAAGAGAGGATAACAAATGCGAGGAAGGAGACGTGGACAAGCAGTGAATCTGATCATCGAGCGTGTCTGTCGATGGCGGTGCTAAATCTAATCTAATCGCCAGCTACTGGCACGACAAACCAGAAAATCCATGTTACATAATCTATTGGCACGTGACCTCAGCTTTGGATGAAACCGAGCCCCAACTTGAAGGGCCAATTACGATAAACGCAAGTGATGATCACCCCGGTGCCAATTTCTTCCCCCCCAGTCGTTGCCTGAGTTGACCTGGTGCCCGTCCATCACCGAATGCATCCGTGAACGAGAGAACTCTTCCGAGAAGACATGATAAACTGGTATGGACCCGTCTGGGCCCGGACAACCCAACCACAAGCTCTGGCATCCCGGCATGGGATGGGGCGTGAAGGGAAAGACCGAAGGAGGGAAGGGACATGCAAGTATGCAGAATATCTTCTTGTAGAGCTACGGATAACAAAGGACAAAGATCTAAAGCTTGTCCCGAGACCAGCTAGGTGAGCGGAAAGGTGATGGAGTGAGTGGGATTTTGCCTCGGGTGGACCGCGAACGCACCTCTTGTCGAATTTTTGGTTCATTTCCAAGAGCTTGGTTCCCTGATCCTGCTCGATGGAAAGGTAAGGATGGGGGTTGCCCTTCGTCCAGGTGACTGCGTATCAAAATGTGAGGACCACCTGCACCGAAGTCGGGCCGTGCTCACGCACCGGTAGAGCCACGAGCAAGACGGGTCAAGTACCAGCCTGCACCAACACAGGCGCCGCCGACAAGGAGGATACTGGCAGGTAGATTGGTCAGAGCCTGCATCTGGACGACGAGATCGGGCTGGACCGGGACCTGTCCGGACTCACATTGGTGTGGCCTAATGAAAGGGCTGAATGGTCTGGGCGAGAACGTCTTTAGAGTGACACACCTCAATGGCGAACCAGTGCTTCATGAAGCTGCTGTTCTTCTTGAACATCGACATGACGGAAGAGGAGGGGAGATGACTTTAGTGCACAGCCTCAGGCATTGGGTAAGTACTAACTATCATGTTCTCGAGAAAACAAGCGCATAGCCAAGCGTTTCAATTTCAAATTTTCTAAAAATTCAACAGGTAATCTAGAATCCATAATACTGTTTCTTTCCGAGAGCCTCGAGTTTGAGGAGAGAATCGACCGTGTCTTCCGGGGGAACACCGCCAAAAAATTCCTTTTCGTCACGAAGGATTTTTCGCTTTGCCTCTCTGTCGGGACCCGGAAGCATTCCAAGAGCGTTGTACACTGCCCGCCACGCGGAATTCAGAGAGCCGAGAACCCACGCGTGATTTGCTGAGGTCGCTTCACCGGCAATGTGGAGCTTGCCTCTTGCTCCCGGAGCCTTCATGCCTGCGAACAAGCTGTCCCCATGTCCAGTCTGGCCAAACTGCCCCGGACCAAACAGGGCAAATGCGCCGCGAGCGTTGGGGTCCGTGTGCCAGTTCCACGCAAAGAAACCCTCAACTTTGCCCATCTTTTCGACGGGCACACCGTGCAGCTTGGACAGATTGTTTAGAACGAGTTCCTTGAGCTCTTCGTCGCTGCTGCCGTCACGGTTGGCCAGGCCACCCAGTCTCTGAGCGTCCTGTGCCCAAGTGTAGCTTGCAAGCAGAACCCCAGGGAGCGGACCAGTGGCGTCCTTGCCATAGGATGGATAAACGCAGGTCCGGATGGGGAGGTCAGTGGAAGAAGTTCCTCCGAAGATGGGAAGCCCGTCCGGCATAATCGTCGGGTCCTCCCACCAGCGCGTCGCGAATTTGATTGCCACCTTTGTGGAAGTGTCGTAGTTGAGCGAGCGTATGGCCAGGCGCTTGAGGTAGCCTAGGTCCTCCGGCTGAGGAAATCGATAGCCTGCAGACAGCCCAGGGGCACGGTGCAGATCACTTGCGAGTAACTCTTGGTGACCGTCGGTGCTCCATCTAATCAATCGTTGGCCATATATCGTGGAGTATGGAGAGGTGAGCCTCACCTTGTTTCGAGGTCACTTTCATTTCGTTTCCAGCGCTTTCTATCCGGACGACACGCGCACCAGTGACGGGTTTGTACTGGATAAGATCGACCATCCGGTCGATGAATATGTCCGACCCTCCGTCAATACAGACCCAACTCGGCAATTCTGGTTCTTTGCGGAGCGATGAAAAGTTCAGCGAGGACCGAAGCTGTCCGAGTTGCGTGGCATGCGGCGAACCAAAGTCCATGGCGTCCATAACGCTCTCCACGAAGGCGTTGTTATAGAGGCCCGTGCCCGTGTTGAACGTTTCGAGCCATTCGACAACGGATTCAGGATAGATCGTAGTGTCGCTGAGGCTGTCGGTAACCTCGACACTATGAGGGCTCTCGACGGAGTCACCTTTGGGCTTTGTGGTCAGCAGATACCCCCGCGTCGAGTGCTTGTCGAATCTGCGCAGTTTCTCCCATCCTTTCTTGAAGTTGTTCTCGAGCTCTTTGATATGCGGGCGAAAGATACCGGTCGTAACCTCGTCCACCCCCTTCTTGACCCAATCGTCGGGAACAGTACCCCCATTCTGCTGGGAGACTTGGAAAACATCCGCGACATCGACCGGCGACCCCTTCCTGTGCCTGATGTCGTTGTACATCTCGAAGGTGTTGTCAGCCGAAAACTTGTAATCAACAAGCAGGCCGTCTTCGTGCAGCTTGAGCTCCTCGAACAGCCGGCGAACGCGCTTCATGATGTCTAGCTTGAGGGGATAGCGCATCGCACCGATGTCAACGTAGTCATAACGCGCAGGATCGTTGACGGGTGCGCGTTTGCCATCATCGCCGTTGAAGCGATGGGTGAAGATGCGGCCGCCAATCCGTTTGTTCGCTTCGAGGATCTCGTACTCGAGACCCAGCTTGTCAAGGATTATGGCGGTGTACAGGCCGGTGCACCCTGCCCCGATAATGCAGATGGGAGCGCTGCTGGGAGAGAGGTCGATGTCCGCGGAGAATGCATGAGCAAGGATAGGACCGGCGGGTATGATCTCCAATTCGAGTGCTCTGAGGGCATCTTCAACGACCGCGCGCGCTGCCTGTGCGTGGATAGACATGACTGCAGGATGCAACGTTCGATTGAGGAACCATGTGTCCCGTCATTGTATTTAGTTTCGAGACGTGTGAACAGAGATCTATGAATGATTCCTGGGACCAGACGCTGTTGTCGGAGAAAGCTATTCTGCTTGATGGCCCTAGAGGTGACATAGCCGATCTCCCTGAATTTGTTCCCACGACATATGCATCCCAAGTGTGGAACGGCTATCAAGCCATCAGCTTGTCATCTCACGTGCGCCACTGGAAACAACTGGCGCGGTAATGCCTGTATGAATCATGCTGTAGCTTGCTCCCAAAGACCAAATGGCAACTTGAGATTGGAGAAAAAATGCATCCGTCTAAGATATTCTAGACGGGCCAGCAACTGCATTTTCGCCCGAGAAACCTGGATGAACTACGCGATTAGTTGCGGCTTCATCGAGGTCATCCACGAGATACTCGACGTCCTCGAACATCGCAGGAAACAAAATGGCCATCATATCCTCGACTCTGTGGTGGATCAGCAGGGAAACGAGTGCGCAGAAAATGGCTCACTTGAAGATAAAGTCGCCCTTCTGTTGGCCCTTGCTTTTCCGGGAGGACTCAAGCTTAGGCTTGTCCGTCCCTGCGAGATCGGTGGCATTCATGATGGAGCCCACCGAGTTGTTTTTAGTGTACAGTGATGTTCCCTGTGCTATCTCAGCGCGTAAACCACAGGATTCGAGGCGGAGAGCCGACCTGACGAGCAGCCAAATCGAGAATGTTTCGTTCAACTGTGCCTTCAGCATAATAGCAGAAAACTATGCGACTCGAGTCAGGTGGCTTTATACACGATGTAGCCTGCCACTGACCTTCCGTTGGACGTGACTGTCCCATGCGGTCGATACGAGCAATCGCTAACGAAGTTCAGAAAAAACAGTGCAAGAGTCAAGTGTACGCCACTTGCCTTGTATCTCAAAGCCGTGGTGGACGACGCTCTCCAATAAGAAAACTCGCGAAGCGCATGTAATGTTGAGCCCCGCGTTTTCTCGTTCGCTGAATGTCGATGATGAGGGCAGAGACCAGCACCCTGTCCTTGTACGCACCCATGGAGCAGGAGCACCTCGATGTCGGAGGATGCGAACGTCTTCACCGCTGAACGGCCCTTGCCTCCAGAATCGATGCGCAACGAGGTTATCCCGTTGGCATTCAGTGCTTGCTCCACAACTTGGGAGGACACTAAATGAGTTCGTGAAACGAGAGGAAGATGCCGGCTTACTAAAGAGGCTGTCCGCCCAGGCCGAAAACACGATGCTTTTCGAGCCCGATTCGTGTGTCTGTAGATATGACAAATGTCTGACAAGGGTCTGTATCTTGTTCCCGTAGTCTCCAAACGTCGGCATCGACTCGATTTTTTCAAACAGCGATGGATCTGGGCAAGTCAGCTATTGAGTTTTCTGCCGCGTGAAGTTCTAGACGCACTGATTCTGTTGTATTCGATTTTACGCCGGGAGTGGGGGACCTGGTCGTGATTGAACTCGCTCTGGACCGGGGCAGCCTCGGCTTTGGGTTCTGCCATCACAAACCGCTGCAGCTTGTCGGTTGCAATAGGAACGCTAGAAAGCGAGTGGTCAGACAACAGCACTGCACAGGATGGAGGAAATTGGTACCGGCACACTGGACATGCATTGCCTTCTTTCCGAGTGATCCAAGCCTTCATGCAATCTTCACAGAAGATGTGGGCGCTGCGACAAGTCAGAACCAGTAGCACGCAGCCATGTCAAACATACCAGTCAGTAATGAAACCTGTTCAAATCGTAATAAGAGCTCGAAAGGAAGGAACATGTGACGCACCGCGGACGAAATCGCACTTGCAAAGGATGCAAGTGCTCTCTTCCTCCTCGTCGTTACTGCCCTTAGTCAGATTGTCGAGATAGCGTTGCCTAGCCCGGTTGGTCTTGATTTGATTCTCGAGTCGCTTCTGCTCCGCATCGCATTCCAACAGCTCATCTTGAACCGTCGTCTCAATCTCGACGTCAGTCACCGCATCCGAGATCTCCTGGAGCTGTCGGAAGTAGAGCAAGCGCTGATTGAACACTTTGCGATACAGAGCTAGATCCGTTTCAGACTTGTCGAGCACAGCACCTGATTTCGCATCAGCATGATGGAACCTATCATAAATCCAAGATGGCGTTCTTACTTTGCTCGGTGATCAGCTTGCGAAGATCGTTCGCTGCGACGAGCAATATGTTCTTCTCGGTCTCATCCCGCTTCAGTCTTGTAGCCATCGTAGACATCTCGACGACAATCTGCACAAATGAGTAAGACCTTGCGCAAGGACAGGAAATCATGTGTACACTCTTGATGGCCCGACCCTTGAGAGCCGATATCGGCGCCTTACGCTGAGAGGCCAGTTCTGTGTGCAGAACCTCGTGCTCCGGCTGCAGTTCAATCCCAGTAGCAACTTCTGGCGTCTTCTCGTTCTCATCTCTAGCTGTAGCCTTCATTGCGGCTTTGGTTTCGCGCAGCTTTTTCTCTTTCTGCAAGACGTTAGAACGAAAACGGATGGCGGTCGGAGAACATCAAATACCGCATTGTGGGCCGCCAATGCCGTTTTCTCCTTGAGCAGCACTTCGCGATAGTCGGCCAGCAGCGCCGTATAGTTGGTCAGGTAGATCTCAGCTTCTCCCTGGTCATCAAGCGTGCGCTGGTACTCCTGGCCGTCTGCTTGCTCGTCGGGAGTCAAACCCGTCATCAACAGACCAGTCAGTTGTCCCCTCCACTCTGAGACGAGCTCCGCCTGCTTATTGAGCACATTTCTAATCATCTGGTTGGCCTCTTGTTGCTGCAGCAATGATCAGCCATAATTCGTCTATCCCAAATCGTGAACGCACAAGAGCTGCACTTTCTTCCTTGACCAACTTGTGTCGCAAGAAAGGAGTCTTGATCTTGAGATCGTCACCTGACGTTTCACTATCTTCAAGAAGCTTCATAGATTCTCGGGCATCCTTCTCAGTTTCTGCATCGGATGAGCAGCGCCCGAAACGAACGAGTGGGCATTTGCTCACTATTCAAGATCGAGCGTCGTATCAACTCGGCCTCTTCATAAGCGGCATTTTCCGCGTCGAGGTGGGAGGGACCGAGCATGTGGCAGACATCTCCCTGAAGAAACTTGACGCGATGGTGGACGAGCTGAGCTTCCCTGAGCCGCTGTTTCAACGCATTCCGCTTGCTGCGGTAGGCCTTAGTCTTGATGTCTATTTTCGAATCGTCTTCTTCCTCCGATTCGGCCTCTGATAGCGCAGAAGGGCTGGCAGATCGCTGGGCAGGGCTGGTTGTTTCGTGCGCAGCGAGGACACCCCGGATTTCATCGAGCATCATCTTGGTCTCCGTCTCGGCGAGTGACAAAGTCTGCTGGGCCAGCTGGTAGCGATTGTGTTCGATTCCATGCTGTCGGAGCTGGGCAGTCCGAACGAGATTTTGGATCTGGACGTCCACATGTGAGTCGCAGCCATGTGCGAAAGCAGCAATCCGACCTGGGACCTCCAGTCCTCGATGACTAAACCCCAGTTGTCATCGCACATGCCCTGGAGCACCTCCTCCATACTTTTCAAAGCACCCGGCTTGAAAATCTTATTGACACCCAGTTGTCCGATCTGCGGGTGCGTGCAGATCGCTCGCAATTTACGCAGAAGGGAGCGCAGGATCACAGGATCTGGTGTTCGTTGTTCACCGCGAACATCTACACCCCGAGCGTCGAGGCCCAGCTCAAGCAGAATGCTCTCGAGATTGCGATCGTAAACCTGGCAGGCAGCGTCAGTTGGGATAAAAATGTATCGTCCGAGATACACACGTGACGTTCAACCCTCCCCATCTCAATACCGACAAGATAGCGCGTTTGTTGTGGTATCGTGAGCTCCGTCTTGATACTGGCTTTGGTCGTACGAACGGCAATACCCTGGAAGAACCGTCGGAAGTATTCCGAGTATCCGGCGCAAACAAGCCTTTGCCAGTGACGTGCTGAGTAGCCCAACAGATGATCGACGCGGAGGAATCTGACGATGTCAGCTGCGAAGCCGGTAGGAGGTAGCTTTAGTACCTGAGGACATGGATGAGGTCAGCAACTTGTGTTCGGGCGGGTGTGCCTGATACAGCGAAAGAAGAAACCCGAGGAATCATCGACACCATGTCTCTGCACCGCGAAGTCAGAATACAAAGGAACTCAAGAGACATACGAACTCCACTTGACCACCACCGACCATCTGCACTTCGTCCATCACGACCCGGAGCCATTCTGTCATGATCAGAGGTGAACGCGCCCGCTCAATGGTTGCAGCGTAGACAACGTCTTCCCTCCTAGGTCGCTGCCTGGCTGCACGCGCCACATTGACATCCCTGCTGAGAGTGGCGTAGGTCGTGACGACCTGCGTAATCGATCAGGGCGCGCAGCCAATCGAGTACATAAGTCGGACGGACCACATCGTAGCCCTGCACGAAGGAAGCCCAATCCAAAACCTCAGTATCGACGTCCATCGCATCTGCATCCTCATCCCAATCGCGAGCTCTGCCCTTTCCCTTGCGTTGTTTGGAGATCTGACTCTTGGCACGGGCCTTGTCGAGCTCCGCTCTCGTGAGAGGGACGTCGACCTTGTTCCACCCCTCGTAGAGGAGAACCTTCAGGCTCGGAGCATGGGTCCGCAGCTCATCCATCCACTGGGGCGCTAGCGTCGGTGGGGTGACAATGAGAGTCGTCTGTGATCCTTCAACATCGACATCACGACATGGATATGAACCGAATGACCTTGACAGTCTTGACTTCGATGCTTGCTTCAGCATCCCAACGCTTGTTTCCTGGATGGCGCTCTGGGCCTGCAGGATTGAGGAGCAGCAGCGAGATTATCTCCAATGTTTTCCCCAGACCTGGCTCCTCAGCGAGCATTCCGCCCAAGCCCTCTTCTTCTTCCGGTGCAGTCAAGGAAAGCTGCCCGGTAATCCGATGGACGTAGAACACGTAAGATCCTTCCTGAATCCTGGACCAAAAAGAGAAGCCGGGCTGCGTTGCTGAAGGTTTGTTGATGATCTCTCCATCGTCCCTCACCATCTTGCCTTCGCGAGCAAGAAGCCAAGCGACGCTGCGACGCTGGAAAGGCAGAAGCGTAGCGACAAGCCCGGCAGGTTGCAACGCGTTCTCTGCTTCCCTCGTAGCGACTGGAGGTGCGGGTCCAACCACAGAATAGAAGAACGGCACGGTCGGATCCTCGTTGCCAGTATGGACGAGCGGATCCGGATACACATGCTGAATCAGCTGTCGCTGCATCGTTTCCACCGTGCTCTTGCTCCCATCTGTTCCAAACGCTCTGGGAGTCAACGACACCGTCACATGCAAGCTCAGGCTAAAGGGTAGAATGGTGTCTTCAGCAGCCCGCATCCTCAGTCTCAACTTCGCATCGATGGCAACTCGTTTCTCCTGCATCAGTTTCACGCATTGCAATAAGACGTCATGCGTCTCGGCCAGTCCGTCATCAGGTAAGCCGAGGAGCTCCAAGTCGAGTCCGTCAGCTGCACGGGGAAGAAGCAAGAACCAGTCAATCGATCCTTCTCGTTTCGCAAGAACTTGAGACACGGCGACCACGCGTGAAGAGTGCGAGCATAACAGCGCGTTTCCCAGATCGATTTCTTGCTCGTCGTGGTCCATGACGGAGGCCAACACTTGTAGGGCATCGACCAAGTTTTTCTCATCTGAAGGCCATTCCTCGTATTCGTCTCCTCCAGCATACAGCCCTAATATTGAACCAGATGGAATCTCATTGGAATAGGTCATCTCGAAGGTGTGGGCCATTATGGGGATCTCCACGCCTGCATCACGCGCAGAGTCCGGAACAAGAGCCTTGAGTTTCGGGTATTGCATCTCGGCCCAAGTGAATTCCGTTAATTTCTTCTCATCGTGACCGGATTTGGCTTCTGGAGACTCGCGCTTCATGCGCTTCGTACGACCGGTGCCGCTGGGTGCCGGCGACGCGACGCGTTTTGTCCCCTTTCCCTTACGCGGACTGGTTCGCGATTCGAGAGCATTTGATATCGGGACTTGCAGCGCGTCAACGAGGCCGGAGATGTTCAGCGCGGGCCGGTAGACATGATGATTGGGATTAAGGCGTCGTTTGTTGCGCTGCGAAGGGCCGACTGGAGGGAAGTAGTGTCGCGGAAGCGCGTAAAGAGGCTCCGTGTGATGGGAGATGGTGTCGCGCATCGAGACAAGGCACTCGGATTATGTGAGCACAGGCCCCCCACAATGGTGGTGGTTACGGAAAGACCTAGATCAATGATGATCAATATTGAGTCATCCTCGATCACATGCGCGCGTAACGATTCTTGACTAGCTTGACCAGCACTTGCGGACCCGCCGATTGTGCTTTTATAGACGGTGCTGAGCATTGCAGCTCTCAAAATCTTATCCTTCCACTTGACATGGCACTTCACGTATACTCCCTCCCAATCGAGCTTCTCGATACTCTTTCTCCACGAGATCTCTTTGGCGAGATTCCATCTAGATCAACCTCTCCCGTGCCTGCACCCGCTGCTTCTACCTCGGCAAACGGCAGCTCGAGGGCATGCAACATCTGCAACGGCGCATCTTTTCTCGATGTTGAGGAGCAACGAGCGCATTACCGGTCAGATTGGCACAGGTACAACGTCAAGAGCAGGTTGAAGGGAGGGCCTGCGGTGTCGGAGCAGGAATTTTTGACATTAGTCGATGGTATTGATCACTTGCTTCAATGATCTCCATATTCTCATCTGTCCAAAGGTCTCGAGGACTCGATATCGGGTTCCGCATCCGAGGAGAGCGACGGCGACGACTCAGATGATGCTGTCGACGCCTTAGTCAAGAAGACAACACGGACCTCACGCTCGCGATCTCCGAGCCTAGAACGACGAAACGCTCCGCAGACCGCGCTTGTTTGGTTTCACTCCCCACCGGCCACTCAGATCGGGATTTACAAAGCCTTGTTTTACACCGGAATATCCCAAACATCATACGTCTCGGCTCTGAAGGACATGCAAGCGGGAGAACGGACATGGGCGATGTTTATGGTTGCTGGTGGTCACTTTGCCGGAGCCGTTGTTCGTGTGAGCCGTGGGGTCGAGGACACAGGGTCGGAGTACGGAGAGAAGAACAAGAAGAAGCAGAACAAACCCAAACCGGACACGGAAGTCTTGAGGCACAAAACATTCCACCGCTACACCAGTCAGTCTATCTATGTCTGTGTTGTCGTGTTATCCTCAATTGCATCTCAGCACGAAGGAAGCAGGGAGGATCGCAAGGACTGAACGACAACGCGAAAGGCAATGCGAAGAGTGCTGGTGCTATGCTTCGGCGGTACGGAGAACAAGCTTTGCGTGATGTGTGTGAGCAAGCCTGCAGCTTGTATATCCGATTGACAACGTCCAGGACATCCGGAACCTCATCAACGAATGGGCTGAAGAGATCAACGCCTGTGAACGGATCTGGATCCGTGCAAGCGGCTCAAATCGCAAGATATTCCTCGACTACGATGGGTGTGTGATCGAGAAAGGGGACGATCGTTTGCGTACATTTCCTTTTCCGACAAGGCGGCCAGTGAGTAGACTCGACGCTATTTCCGTTTCGTATCTGAATTATGTAGACGCAATCGGAACTGGCTCGTTGCCTGGCGGAACTCACCCGTCCCAAAACGTCGCATTTCACTGAAGAAGCCCTCCGAGCTCAGGATGAAGCGTACCTCGCCTCGCTTCCGAAGCCAAAGCCGAAACCAAAACCAATGGCCACTCCGATTGTCGAGAAACCAAAGCCCGTCAAACTGAGCCAAGAGGAGGAGGCTTTACGTGAACGGTGGACGCGAGTTCTGGAAATGGTGTCCAAGGGCCGTCTAGACTCACTCAAATCCTTTTGGGACCGAGAGGGGGCGTCTCTAGGTGGTGTTGATACGGCCATTCCTGAGTGGAGTGGAGAACGTGTGTCCACCCTGTTGCAGTTGGCAGCGCAGTCAGGCCAGGAGCAGGTCACCGAGTGGCTGCTTGAAACTCTGCGTGCAGACCCAACCATTGCATCCAGCAGCGACGACGGATCACGACGAACGGCTTATGATCTGGCCTCAGCTCGCTCAGTCCGGGACATGTTCCGCAGGTGCGCGGGGGCACATCCTGATTGGTGGGATTGGTTCGGGATCGGACATGTTCCCAGTGCACTGAGCAAAGAAATGGAGGAGGAGCGAGATGAGAAGAAAAAAGTTCGGCGCAAGGGCCTGAAAGATAAAGTCAAGGAACGGGAAACAAAGCTTCCGAAAGCAGCGGTGCCTGAACTACAACTGGAGTCGCCACCACAGCTTATAGCGGAAACGACTGGCCCCCGCAAGTTGGGTGGGGCATCTGGCTCTGCCCAAGGCATCGCAGGTTTGACACCGGAGATGCGTGCAAAAGTGGAGAGGGAAAGGCGAGCTCGAGCTGCAGAAGCAAGACTAGGAAAATAGTGAATTAAGGAGCACAGACTACATTAGCTCATAATTGCGGACGGGCTTTCAGTTCCTGCAAGTACTTGTGTGCTTTACCCAGCATCCAGATAGGAAATGAAAACTTGAAGTTGGGATAAGCAATGGCGCAGGTCTTATTGAAGATCCCCTCGATTGCTTCTTGAGGCCAGGACCCATCCTGATAGAAATTTAGCCATAGGACGAGATGCGTCGTAAATGCTCACAGGAAGTTGCCGGGACATCACCAGAGCAACACCTTTTTGCAGGGGTTCAGCGTGAGGATATTCTGCATACATCAGGGCCATGACAGCCCAGCAGGTCTGCACGACCTGAGTCTCGGCGTGCTCGACCCATTCCCCCAACTCGCAACCCTGCTCGAATGTAAGAAGATACCATTACATCACAGTCACGACGAGCCTTGTAACTCTCGCCCCATCCTCCGTCTTTGCGCTGTTTGCTGATCAGGAACTCGCACGCGCGTTTACTGGCTGAGCTGGTCGCGTAGGTCTCTCCTGCCAGCGCCAATGACTCGAGGGCAAACTGTGACGCATAGGTGAAGCAGATGCCCCAGGATCCAATCCATCCACCATCACTCTTTTGCGCTGCGTGCAGATACGAAATAGCCCCCTTGATCGTCTTTCTGCACGAAGTTCAATCACAGCGATGATCCACAAGTCGTGACCCACGCAATGTCCTTGGCCCGGTAGTCTGAGTAATGTTTGCGGAAGATGGAGAGAGCAGTGATGACGGAAGTCGTGCACTCTGGGTAGTTGTATTCGATCATTATGTTGCCAAAGACCTCTGCCGGATTTAGCAATTCGAGCCACCACGGACCACGAATGGGCTCGTAACTGGCAAAACCGCCATCGGAATTTTGCAGAGTGAGCATCAGATCGACGGCGTCAAACAGACGTCGGTCCGAGACGAGTTTCGGGGTGAAGGAGAGGTGTTTCTGTAGATATAACACAGCTTTCAATCCTTCTCCAGTGCAGTCGCTGACGACATATCCTTGTTCTTTCGTACTGTGGATCATTGATGCTGATGCTCTTCGAGAGAGCGCCAAGAAATCCTACCTGAAGCCCCACGCGCCTTTAGTTCCATGGCGATACGAAGTTGAATAGTGCTTGGGATGATCGAGAATCTGTGCATCGTCCAGCCACTCGAGAGCTTTGAGGAGGCTATCCCGATTCTCAGGTAGCTCGGCGAGTCCTGTTTCGACCAAAGCCTGGGTAATGAATCCAATATCCCAGAGCTGGCTGCCGTTGGTCCCACACATCATCATGCCTTCTGCGCCTAGCCACATGAAATCGTAGCGCTTCTCTTTGTGTTTTCGAAAAGCAGAACTCTCTTGTCCCTCGCGGTGCACGCGGGCTACAAGATTGAACATCTTGGAAACAGGGCCAAGAGTTTGGTAACCAGTATTTTCGTCCTCTTGCACGATAAGTTGGTAAGCACGATCAATCGCGGCTCGACGAATTGGCGGAATTTGGCATGCTTCGTACCCACTCAACATGGCGTTGAGCGAGTCAAAAACCAGGCTGTGCGGGGCATACAAATCCACTTTCGCCACATTATTCCGTTGTGCCGGCCAGTATATCTGATAATAGTTTTCGGCATACAGTTCCTGTGCTCGCATCATCGATTGAAGGTCCAACAAAAGAAGAGTACCAACCTCTCGCAGGGCAAGAGTCAAATGATTCTCAGGCATCTTGAATCTAACACCGTAGAGGTAGCTCATTGGAATGTAAACTGTTCGCGTGTGAATCCACCATCGGTGAGGATGGAACGGAACCCAGTCGGGCAATAGCCTGAAAATATCAGTATCGGTCGATCTCCCGCCCCACCAATTGCATACCAGAGCTCAGGCGGGACCGGATTATTCCCTACGTCACGTTAGAAAATGGATCAAGGGAAGCCATCCCATGCAACGGACCTTCCCAATCATAAACATTGAGTAAGGACAGCCAGAATTTCCCCCAAGATGGGATGGCAGTGCAACCGCCTGGGTCGGTCTTATTAGTATCAGCAAATAAGAGAATAGATATCTTGCACACCAAGCTGATGAAGTTTTGCCCTGGCCTTGACACAGACAGGGTGCTCGGCATCTACACCCAAGATTCTGAGTGCAGTATAGTTAAGCCCAGTCCCGAACACGGTCGATTCTCCTTCGACATGGCTAGAGCAGCTGTAAGAGTCTATTTGACAAATTAAAGCGAGTAACAAACATTCCCCATCCACCGTCAACGGGGTGGGCCCGGTTCATGAGATATCGTATCATCTCAAGTCGCTCTTCCAATGTGAACCCCATGCCCGAGATGTACGAGCCGATGACAAGGCCGGGGAGCAGAAACATCGGTCCTCCATACTCCCCAGCCCAGTGGCCGTCGTGGGACTGGAGATTCTTATAGAACGTGTACCCATTCTTTGCGGCTTCATAGGCATCTTTGGCTGGAGGTAAAGTCGGGAGTTTCTATGATGACAGTTACGAGAGCCCCACCGGCCAGAGCCATATCATCTTCGTACCAGGTCGATACCCAACCAGAACTTGTCCACCGAAGTTTGCGGCCACCTCTGGCATTCTTCTTCGCTCCTGAGGTAGTGCCAGGTATGCCTGCCGCTGTCGCTGACCAGAAGCCTCCAACGAGAGTAGTCTGTGAACGGTTTGCTGGCTGAATTCTCGATTGAAAGTGGAGAATAGGAAGTCATTGGGAGGAAATCAGTCGTACCACATCATAACGCGCGACGCGCACTAGATCTTGACGCGACGTTTGGTTTAAGCAAACAAGTTTACACAGCTTTCTGCATCAGAGATCCAACCACAACACTCTAGCGAGCTCACTTCTACTCTTCGTAGTATTTTCAGTCGAATCTCGTCCAGGCATTCAGAGGCATCTGGAACTCCAGTCTAATTTACACCTGAGAACTGAACCGTTTTGAAGTAGCTGGTGGGGACAGTCTCATCGGCGTCAGCATACATGACACCATTCCGCGACTCGACTGTCATTATCATCGAAGTGGGCCGCACAGAGATTAGGGCTGGGTTGGGTCTTCATGAACTGCTCAAAACGCCGTCGGTTGTGAGCTCCCTAAATGCAGGTCTCTCCCACATAGACATCTCACCTAGTGTGTCAGGAATTGAAGGCACGCGTCGGTTTACCTCGTGACGCGTCGTCGAGTAGCACAGACGCGAATGAACAACGCGCTTATGCTGTAAAGGACTACATTTTGGGGACTCAACTCGACGAGGCTCTAGCATCTGACCCTGATATGAACATATTCTGGCCATTTGCGGACGGAGAAGTCAAGGACTGGACCCAAGCCGAAGCCATCTGGTTCGTTAGATGGCTCACTCTGGTCCCGATTTCTCACGCATGCATATGTAGGAAGTATGTCCTCTTCAACCAGCTTCAACGCCGCAGGGTCCAGAATGAATCTCCCGTGCTGCTCTCACTACCCGCTGGGATGACCACACGAGATTCGTGTGAGCGAATCGGTCAGATATTCTTCGAGCGTTTCAATGTTGCAGGATTTGGCATCCTGGATCGACCCATCGGGCAAATATACGCTGCCAATACTCTCAGCGGTATTGTCGTCGATATTGGATATCATGTTACCGACATAACACCCATCTACGAAGGCTTCGTTGTGCAGCAGGCTCGCACATCTACCAAAGTGGGAACGCGGGACTGTCTTGATTACCTCGCCTTCCTTCTGCGGTCGAACTCGTCTGTGATGTCCGTCCTATCTCCTGCGGACGCGCCCCTGGACCCTGTGGAACTTAACAAGAAACTGCTCGAGCTTGTGGACTTCATTTGGAAAGAGGGCTATGTCAAAGTGCCTTCGGATGGCGAAACTGCTGGTGGAGAAGATGAAGGCGTGACCGACATCGCAGCTGTTATTGTGGCCGGGAAGGAGCGTGCCTTGATCGAGAGTGGAATGAAAAAGCGAGCAACGGCCAAGGCGTCAGCTGCAGAGCAGCAGAGAGCACGCGAGATGGAAGCCATGGATCTCATCACGGTCGAATTCCAAGGCAAATCATTGACATTGGGCAAGGAGCGACATCGAATGTGTGAGCCGTTATTTGATCCTTCTTTGATGCGGATCGTGGCGAGCAATGTCGACCCAACTCGGGGGAAGGCTCAATTGCAATGGGCTTTGCAAGACGCTGTTGGTCATTCCATCTCTCAGGCTGACGTCGATCACCGTCCTTACATTTGGAATGGGATCTTTGTTACGGGTGAATTGACCCGTCATGTGAAAGGTGCGCCTTCTTTCTCATCACGGTGCGCCTCTTGACATTCCCAAGGGATCGGAGTTGCTCTCCAGTCTCGGGTTTCCCCGTACATCGCGAATCCCGACTTGCAAACGGACGTTCAGGCGCGTTCAGCCAAGATCCTGAGCTTACCCGAATATTTTCCTGAATATCGGGACACCGGGAACAATTTCGCCGCGTTCTTGGGCGCCAGTATCGTTGCCAAGGTTCGCCGGCGCCATCCACGCGTCTCGTGTCTTCTCTGATAGAAAGCACGCAGATAACCTTCATCAATGAACCTCAATCGAAAAACTTCGTGTCGAAAGCTGACTATTCAAGCAGGGGCCCTCGGTCCGTAATCGAATTAGCTCCTACACTATTCTAGCCAATGTTGTAGCCTGGATAAACTGTACACTCTTTGTATCGGTTTTTTACCTTCTTCTCTGAGAAGCCTGAGAGCGGAACCGCCAAAGCCCGTGTGCTCTTTGCCGAGGCGTTACCGATCCGAATCGGCTCTTGTTCCTACCCTATGATGCTCATCACGTGTAGCAAGCCCTTCTCCTCCCACCTTCACCACCGGCACTTGCGTGGACGTCTCCATTTCTGGCACTCCTCTAAGGGCCCTAGCATCTCATCCGCATGCCTCTGGGATACACTCATATTTTGGTGGTACTCATAATGGCCCTGCAATCCGACTAGTCATGTCCCCACAGCCAGGGTGCGTGTTTTTTGCATCCACTTCTTTATTCTCTCTCTTGGAAACGGAAATCTCAATGACAATTCCAGTCCCTCATCCAGGTACTCAGGCATCATTCTCCAATCCAGCTGCTTTTTCTGGATCAGCGTCCTCAGCGTGGACGTGG